ACAAATAAAACCCACAAATTTTATTTGAGTGAAAATTTCGCTGCACCAATTTTCATTCATCTTGCTTGAGCCGACTTGATTATTGATTGAGTAAATTGTCACTTTCTTAGGCCACCTCCTGCACCATCTTGCCCTCGCTCAAGAGACATAGGTCTCGCTTGAGTGAAAATTTAGTCAAGAACCTAAGTTTGCCTAAATTTCAACCTTTTCCAATCTCAATACTTAAAAACATAACTCATTTATACCATAATCATACAATAAGAACATACAACACCAAATTTACATAAACATAATTTTCTACAGTCGTGCAAAACTGCCATTTTACATTTTGTTTTCTACATCAGTTATATGAGAACCAATTTAAATATAAATATAATGACATTTTTGTAACAATTGATGGATTTTCTACATCGATTGTTAATACAATTGATGTAGTATCTTCACATATTACATCAGTTGTTATTACAACCAATGTAAGAAGTATTTTATATATTATCTTTTCATGTTTTCTCACTTTCTTAATGTTGCCCTAAAATATATTCTTTTTATTATGCCTCCATAGATGTTACACCGTCTCAAACCTCGTCATCTCTGAAGTTTCTTTTTTTTGAAACTATTATTCTCCAAAACTCATCATGTTCAAAGTTTTTTCTTTTCAAAGATTTTCCCTTTCAAATCTCCTGTTCTCCAAAGATTGTTCTACCACCACAATGGAACAAAGTTACTACGTAATTGTTGGGCAGCAGAGGAGAAAAGAAATTTTCACCTGCAGAAGCACACACACGAGAGAAACAAAAATAAAAAACAAACTCAAAAATTAACTTGGTTCGCACTTCTTGCCTACATCCACTAACACACTCAACAACTATTCATTTCTCAACTTGTAATTTTTACAATGACAAAATTGCAAACTCTCTTATACAATTTTTGCATGGAAATATTGCAAACTCTCTCTTGAGACACAACTATCCAAGTCCCCAATACACCAAAAGACTAGTGTTATTATGGTGAGTAGACCCAGACTATCCACCTCTTATTTATAGTAGTAATCTACCACTCTCCTTCTTCAAACTACCCGATGTGAGACTTTGGAGGATACCCACACACTTTGGGCATAACATATCCTCCCTTCATCCAAAATATCACATTAATCCATCATCATGACAGACCATATTTACAGAAGGAATATTCTTCTTTTCCTTCATGCATTTCAAGTCCTCCTTGAATTTTGGACATTTGACTTGAACGTGACCAAACTCTCCACAGTCATGGCATTGAACAGTACTCATATCTCTCGACTAGAATCTTCTACCATGTTGATCACTATACTTATTTCCTCGCTCGCTTTTAGCTAGCAGTATCTGTCTTTAGAGGATTTATCACCACTCATTATTTGTTGACTCTCCTTCAACATCCTTATCACTTCACTGCTCTGACTTACATATTGTTTCTCTTCCTCCCTGACACACTACTTATTTTCTTCCCTTAGACAGAACCTCAATTCTTTTCTGATGTGGAAGATTAGATAATGTTGTAACTGCAAAGCATACTAAGAATTAAGAATCTCACAGAGCCTTATCACACCAATAGCTTTGATACCACTGTTGGATATCAGAGGGGAAAAGAAATCTTCACCTGCGGAAGCACACATACGAGAGAAACAAAGATAGAAAAACAAACTCAAAAATTAACGTGGTTTGACACTTCTTGCTTACATCCACTAACATACTCAACAACTCTTTATTTCTCAACTTGCAATTTTTACAAGGACAAAATTACAAATCCTCTCATACCATTTTTGCACGAAAAAATTGCAAACTCTCTCTTGACACATGACTACCCAAGTCCCCAATACACCAAAAGACTGGTATTGTTGTGGTAAGTAAACCCAGACTATCACCCCTTATTTATAGTAGTATTCTACTACTCCCATTCTTCAAACTACCTGATGTGAGACTTTGGAGGATACCCATACACTTTGGGCATAACAGTAATTATCCATTTGTTAATAATCACCCTAACGCGAAAAAGAATGAAGGTGAAATTCTTTTCTACTATTTATGATATTGTAACTATTCATCTATGTTATTGTCACTTCACGCGTCTCTCTTATTGTCATTATTCTAGGTACGTATATAAATTTTATTTCTTTTATTGATTAAAATTTTATTAAGAATGGAAAAAAAAATTGTAATTGATATTATATATCATTATTAATATTTTTATGTTGTATTATGTGAAAAAATATAAAAAACAAATAATACTTCATTAATGGTTACATGTAAAATATTAACATTTATAAGTGCAATATATATATTTTTTTTAAAAGTGAAAATATAACATCAGATATAAAAAAATCCGATGTTATATATATACTTTTTACATCGATTATCAATTGATGTAAAAATTCTCACACTTTATGCATCAATGACATCTACATTGGTTCAACAATCGATGTAAAATACTTAATGTAATAGATGTGAAAACCTTATTTTTTAGTAGTGTATATTCATTTCAACACACTATATAACACACACACACACACACATATATATATATATATATATATATATATATATATATATATATATATATATATATATTATTTTCAAACTTATTATTACTTAAGTAGTTATCTTTCCTTACTTGAATATTCATGATTCCCGACTTTTCTAAGTATATGTGTAGTTCATAGTCATTATTTGAGTTTCAAAATTTGGGCAACACTATCACATAATTAAACTGTATTTTATTATCTAAAACTCTCCATCAAACTTAAAAAAAAAAATTCAAAATAAAAAAAACGAAAATAATTTCCTCGTTCAAAGTTCTATTTAGATAAAATCTCTCATGACCAGTTAAACTTTCTCTTTCCACCTTTAAGTCTTAATTCCATGAGAGTTTGAGTATACTAAATTTAAAAAGAACCTACAAATATATATATATATATATATATATATATATATATATATATATATTTTTTTTTAGAGAAATAAATATTTATGAAAACTATTATTTTATTTAGAGTTTTCTAAGCCACTAAATATATTTTTATATCCAAAAAATCACATTACTCTTTAACTTTTTTAACTTATTTTTTATTATTATCTTTTCAAAATCATAAATTCATTATTTTAACTTTTAAAAAATTTAATATTAATTATATTTTATTTCTAAATTTAATCTTTATTACAAAATTAGTAAAATAGTTAAATTTAGATAATATATAATTTTAACAATTTATTAGACTTAAATTAAATATTTATTAAAGATGTTTAACCTTTAATCACGGATATTATTCTACAAAATATTAGTGATACCTTCAATTATAAATGTTTATAAACATACCACTAACATCACAAGACATAATTAAGATTAATAATAAATAAATAAATAAATAAATAAATGACAACCAATGACTTGTTCATGTACTAGTTCCCCACGTGTGTGGCAGCTTGATCAAGGTTTGAATTGGTTGGTGTCCATTGACCTTTTTGGTCCACCAAAATTTTACCTACTAGTACTACTATTCTCATATGTACTCCAAATTTCTTCTTCATTTGTGTAGTTATTTATCCATTTTTTAAACATAAACACATTACACGAGGATTTTTTAAGAAAATAATATTTTATTTAATATCACTTGAAATTAAACACCTCTTGGAATAGTTTAGTTTATAGTTTATAGTTAAGTATTCTAACTATTTTTACACTAGGGCAATTATTTAAAATAATTTATTTGCAATCCACTCATTTTAAATTTATATGATGGTTAATTTTAGTGTAGGTTTCCTGAAAAGTTCTTATTCATTGAAAAATCTTATTATTTAAGATAATTTTTATAATAATTATTTTACAATTCTTATTTATCATTACTTAAAATTGATTAACTATGTAGAAATGTGTATACTAAAATTGCACGAAAATTAAATTCTATAACTAATTATAAATTAACCTATTATGGAGTCAAAATTTTCTTTTATATATCACGTGTTTCTTCTGACTCAATTCTACTTTAATTGGTTAGGAATATTACAAGTATAAATATTTTTTGTAATTATATATTTATAGCTCAAACTTAAAATTATTAATTAAATTAGAATAAATATTGTGCAAGTTGACCTTGCAGGTGATGTAATCTAGAAATAACTTCTTCACTTTATTCTCTGTCTTATTAGTTAATATTATTTCAAGAAGGTTAACATTTGTTAAAAAAGTCAAATTTTAGCTAAGTATCATTCTATTTTCATGGCGGCCTCGTTTAAATTTTTAACAAATTTTATATTATTGTTAATATTATAAATTTTATTAATAATTTTTTAATTATATTATTCATACGACATATTATTAATTTATGTAAAAAATATTGATTAATCGTTTTTAATTAAAAACTTTGTTTATTTAAAGAATTTGATTGATACTGGTATATTTTTTATTAATATAAATATAGAAAATGAAAATTAGGAAGGTGAATGAGTGAGAGTGATGATGGTTGAATAGCAATAAGCGAACAATAATGAATAATGAATGAGAAGAGAAAAGATTTAATTGAGGAGGGAAAAGGTAGAGTAGAGAGGGCTAGGGGAGAATAGCATAATAGCTTTGACGCGTGAGAAGTTGTGGATGTTGGTGAGCCAACCCTTTTGCTAGCTGGCTGTCGGGGAGAGGTCCCCAGATCCCTCTCGCACTGCACGTGACAAACCCCCTCCTTCTCCCTCTCCCTCTCCCTCTCCCTCTCCCACTCTTCTCCTCTCTCTCCCACACTCTTTCGTTCGCAACTCTGAAACAAAAAGCGCATCATCGCTTTCTTCTTCTTCCATCAGTCCAAAACTCAAATCTCACTTATTTCTTCTTTCCCTGGCACTTTCTTCTCTCTCCTCTCTCTCTCTATGTCTCTGTTTGTTAGTTTGTTTGTATGAATGTGTTAACAAAGATTATGTGCTATTAATAGCTGATTCAGATTCAAATGCTATTGGACGCCAATCCAGATTCACACTCGAATGCTTGGATCTGCTGCAGGTGAATTCGCCTTTCCTTTTATCTCTGATACTTTTCTTTCAGCTTGTTGATACGGATTTCAGTCCGCTTGTGTTTGATTATTGTTTCCGTTGGCCTTGCATTCTTACTTCAGGCATTGTACTGGCTCTGGCATTGGTTGTTCCTCACGGATTTGTTTAAGAAATTGATTTATTTTATTTTTGTGATCTACTGTGAATGGAGTTGAGTCTGTGCGTGATGTAAGTAGGTCTTCTCTGTGATCTGAATGTGCTTTGTGTTGGTATTGCGCAACTATTTGTTTTTGAAATCTTGAATTGGAATCAATGATTTGTCTGAACTGTTTTGCACTGTTAGGTGGTTGAAATTTGAATTGAACTGTACAGGCATTCTTTTAAAGAGGTTATGGTATTTTTGCTGCTGTAGTTTTTCTTGGGGATTTATGAGAGCAGTACTCTATATTAGGAACTTTCTGAACTGTCTTTTTGTTGTCTCCCTTTGTGCCATGCGGATTGGTATTGCCTTATTGCTAATTTTTTTTCCCTGTAATACTTATTAAAATATGGAGTTGCATAAATAAACTAATACAAGGAAGTGATTCAAAAACAATACAGAATAATCCTGATCTATTTTGTTTGTTTAAAACAATTGTACAAACCATAGGGCCAAAAATAAAAGGAAAAGTGAAAACGAATTTACTATGGAAAGAGAATAGACTTGTTATTAAGTATGGATGGACAATTTAGGTGGAAACTGATAGTACAGTTTGGAATAAACAATCTTGAAAGAAGCAAGAATATACAAAATATAAGGTAATTAGAAATATTTTTACAGACTTTAGTTTTATGCCACGAGTTTTTCTTTGGATGTTCAATGAATGGTACGACATCAAATTGTAAATAGTGGTAATTGTACTAATGACATGTCTCATGCATATATCCGGATCTTTATTCATGAAGTGAAAGATTCCTTCTTGCTTCAGAGGGGCTTATATTGTTGATTTTTACCTTTATCATTTTGTATATGAACCATTTTTGGTAAAATATAAGGTGACTGAGTTACTATTTGCCGTAGTACTATACAGGATTATATTATGAGCTAGTAAACAACAACAGCACCAAAAGCTTTACCCACTGGGTGAGGATATTATGAACTAATCATAATATTTAAAACTAGTTTATATAGAAATTACTAGAATTTCAGTGTGGTTGCAATAGTATTTTGGGTTACAATTGTAAGTAATAAATACATGGGAGTGGAAATTTCTGTCGTCAGCACATTATGCAGTTGTTAATGGAGGGTATTTGTCTTTCATAAGAATGGTTTGGTTATATGAATATTCTACAGTTCACTGTATAGCTTTGTCCACATGTCTAATATTTAAGATATGTTGGCACTTTAATGAGGATATTTGATATTTCTCGAGGTCTTTGTCTTTACCTGCTTCAATAATTTAGGGGAATTATTATGGTCATACTTTGTATGCATTTTTTAATAGCCGGAAAGTGCTGAGTCAGAAATGGTGTAAGTAAGTCAACTTTTATTCATGCATGATGCATTTTCTGTTTCCTTCTGAGAGTGGATATAGGTTGCATTCGATATCTGATGTTTATAGGTGTTATATGATTGATGATTTGTTGGAAATGCGGTAACTTGCACAACGAGGCTTACTCTTATATTATGAATGATTTGGGCTTGAGATAATCCTTGCTCCCTGGTGTCCTAAGCTCACCAAAGTGATAATATTAGTTCTGAAAGTTTAAATCCTAAGCTTCAATTGGGGATCATCTAATTAGTGTCATGGGATTCATGCGCAGTGGAGCTAGGCCAATGTTAACAAATTTTCTACTTTTATATTTATATAGTAATTATTTTGGCCCATGGTTCTAATGCTTCAGTTTCATGTGTAATGATTTTGAATTCAATTTCTTTTTAACTTTTTTATATGCCATATCATTCTGATTTGGTTCATGCAGGTTACATGATCTCCAGCCTGAAGCAGTTGGGGTTACTGAAATATCTATTTCAATGATTTTGCATTTTCAGAACTTCCTTTAGCCTGGAAATTTCTCTTATGGGTTAATAACTGTGGCGAAATGGTTTTTCATTCCAAATATATAAGAACATGGAGGAGACCCGAGAAGATGCAGGGCCGAAAGAGCAAGGGCCATCTAACGTATCTTGGTGGTCTTCAGATTTTGTTGAAAAATTTGGATCTGTTTCTTTGGATTCTCACGATGAGACACTAAGTAATAAAGAATCTCCTCCACATTTTGTCAAAGATGTTTTGTCTTCTCAGCAAGCATCACAAACTCTCTGGCGCGCTGGAATGCTTTCAGAACCAATACCAAATGGTTTTTACTCAGTCATTCCGGTGAGGATTGCTTTATTTGTTACCTTCTTAGGGCTACAGATGTCTTTTTGCTCATGCTAGAGTTGCTAGTAATCATTTGTTGCATACAATTATTGATGATAATTGATACTTTAAGAGAGAGAGAGACCATGTTTGTAAAATTTCTTATTTGCTTTTGCGTTGCTGCATACTCCAAAATTTGCATCGTAATTTTGATTTATTCTTTTATTGTGTTAGTTCTTGTGCTTGTTCTGTTTGCAATTTTTTACTAAGATCAATTCCTGGTATGATGCTGGGAACTATTGTGTTTTCTATTTGATATACTCATTGAATTTGACATATTATTTGCAATTAATTTTCATTTATGCCCAAAAAATGAGAAGCTGAAAATTATGTTTCACTAATTGAGAATAATTGAGATGAGTTGGACTTTCTATTTACGTGAAAGAAAATGCCCATTTGTATTAATTTATATCATTTTGTTGTTTTTCTGGTATCTTACAATGGGAGGCATGTTGATGTTCTTGGAATTATTTAGTTTTGGTTAGGAAGGGCTCTGTAGTCTATCACTATCATAGGACATAAGAGTGATGTGGTACAAAACACTAATCCATCTGTCCTATTTATACTAATAATTGTATCAAGTACTGGTGTAGACATACTAGTACAAGCCCTAGCTCAAGCTCACTAATACAATAAGGATACTGTTAAGGTTCCAACATAAAACCAATTGGCAATATGTGGAGTAGCCTAACATGTATTTAAACCATACCAAATGATATGAGGTAGGCGATGTGGGACTTTCAACACACCCCCTCCAACGCCTGCCGGACCAGGCAAAGGGTACTTTTGACCCAACTAAAGGGCAACTTTTGGCCCATGACAATAACCGGAAAGATGTTAGGCTTTGGCTCTGATACCATGTTAAGGTTCCAACATAAAACCAATTGGCAATATGTGGAGTAGCCTAACATGTATTTAAACCATACCAAATGATATGAGGTAGGCGATGTGGGACTTTCAACAGATACTAGCCCTAATTAAATAAGGAACCATTAGTGAAATTAAGAAACACCTCCTAAAATTTCTTCCACTATTAAGAGCCTGTTTGGAAGAAACATCTCCATAAGCACATCTAGGAGAGAAAAATTAAAATTAAAAGGAAAAGTAAAATTAATTTCTCTATAAGGTAAATTAGTGTATGCATGAGTTGAAAATTAGATTTTGGAAAAGTTAATTGCAAATAACTTCTAATAATTAGTTCATGCATAAGCTAATTCTAGCTCATGGAGGTATTTATTTCATTTTTCCTTTGTATTTTGCTCTCCAAAAAAGTGTTTATGGAGTGGAGAAGTTTCTCCAAAGAGGTCCTAAATGACTAATTGATTTCACACTATATTCTGAAAAGTCATTTCAAGAATTTGGGTTTGAGCTTAAACCAACTTTACAAAATTCGACTTGTAACATAGTTGTTATTTCTGGATAGCAAGGAGAGTGACTGACAGACCCCAAAATTAGGATAGTGGGTAGCAGGATGACCACTATTCTATTTATTTTATGTATTAAGTGTATATATATAAGCTGAAAAAGAGAAAAAGAAAAAGCTCAAAATTAAAAAATTTAGTTAAGAAAGTTATCAAAAGTTGAATTAAATAAGTCATGGTTCTGCTTGGTAGAGCTTGGTTTAAAAAAAAAACAGAATTTAAATTTAAAAGTTAAAACAAGTCATGGTTAACACTGGGCTATATAAAAGAATCAGAAGTTCAATTAAAAATAAGGCAGGTGTGTTGGCAGAAGAACACAGAACTGAGTTAAAAAAAATCAAAAGTTCAATTAAAATAAGCCTTGTTGTGTTGGCAGCAGAACAGAAAACAGAGATAAAAAATAATCAGAAACTGAATAAGAACTTAAAAATCATGTTGGAAGAGAACAGAAAACTGAATGAAAAATGAATCAGAAATTAAAAAATTCATGCTGTGTTGTTGGCAGCAGAACATGAAATTGAATAAAAAATAAGAAATGAATTAAAAATATAGAAGAGAATAATATAACCAGAAGTAAAAACCTGAACAACAAAATAAAAAGAAGAATGATGGTTATGGAAAACCAGAAAACCAAAAACTAAAAAAGAAGAACAAAATACGAGAAACTAAAAGAAAAAAGAAACAAAAATAAATGAAAACAAAAGATTAAGAAGAAAGAAAAATGGTTTGCCGCTGGACAAAGATGGTAACTGAGAAGGAGAGAATATAGATTAGTAATGTGTTTACGGAGAATAGACAACATTTTTGCTTGCAGGAGTTGTCTCATTTTAAGCTGTCTAATATAAAAAATAAGCTAAAAAGACCAAAACCCAAAATACCTTCACAAATAATCATTAAGAGAGGGTATTTCATACTTTTCACTATTTCCTTGTTGTGGAAGCGAAATCACTCAAAGGGTCTGTGATTTGCACCACTCTGCTGTGGCATCTCTGCTCTAGGCACAATTCAGAATTCCCATGCCTGAAGGACTGGTTTATGAGATGAGGGTTGTCTCCAATGTATATACATTCCTTATCGATAGTTGATGCAGTTCTTCTTCAAATTTGAAGGTGTTCTATGTAAATACTAATATATATTATGTTTTATCCTGGCCAGCATGGGATTCATCCAAATAGTGGAGAATGTGGGGTTTCGAAGAGTGTCCTGGTAGCATTACCGTTTTGAAGTGCTAGTAGTAGTAATCTCATGGATACACTCTTTTCTATACATTCTCTATTACTGATTGGAACCTCATAATTGTGTTAGGAGTCTCACGTTGAGTTGAATAAGCAACTTGGTATGGTAGTTAAGCTTTGAGACTTTCCCACCTAATGACTAGTATTTTGGGTTGGACTCTCCTTTTGTGCCCCTGACAATCATTGCTTTGATTGAGAGTTGGGTTATGGAAAGGGCTATCTATAGGCTAGATTAAACTACGTACTGAATACTATAGGTGAGTGAAGCTGTCAAAGAGAAAAAGGCTACCATTGGATCAATGTTGATAGAGTCAAAGTTGTTGTGGATGTCATCCCTTAAAGGGGTTGACAATATTACGAGTTATATGTTGAGTAGAATAAACTACTTGAAGGTACTTCTTTCGTATTCAGACTCTCCCATCTAATGGACTAGTGTTTTAGTTTGGACTCTTCTCTTGTGTTAACAGTTGCCCTGCATTAGCTTCTTTCTAGTTTCTAGTCTCTTAAATTTCTGGTCGAGGACTGTGAATTTATTTTTCATACAAGTGCTCAAGTTATATAAACTGTAGGAATAACATTTTCTGCTGCTGCTTGTAAGGATTGTGTATTGCAGTATAGAGATGTAGGTGCTGCTTGACACATGGGTTTTGTAATTAGTGAAACTGAAGTTACAATCTACATGTTATTGTTGTTTAATTGAACATTTAAATGTGGCAATTACAGATAGCTAAAGGTGTCTCTTTAGCTTGTACAAACTACAAAGTAGTTGGTGTTTATGATATCATTAATGAAATTATATTTAGTTTTGCATGGAGAGGGGAATTCAGTATAATCTGGAATTTGACATTGGCAACACTAAATGTACGTTATCTTATTTGGAAGTGTTATCTTTAAGTTTTCAGAATTTTGACCCAATCAGATGAAATTTCTTGCCGGGACTGGATCCTACTTGCTGTTCCAGATATTTTTACTATGTGTTTCAATAGCCTCTGCTCATTCATGTATCATGACACATTGTTTTTTGAGTTTGTTGATTGTATCCTGGTTCTTGGTGTGTGACTAAAAGGATTTTTCTCACTTTATTTTTATTAATTAATTTGATAACATGCAGGAGACAAGACTTAAGGAACTTTTTGATAATATTCCTACCTTGGACGAGCTTCATGCTTTGGGTGGAGAGGGTTTTAAGGCTGATATCATTCTCGTGGATTCAGAGAAAGATAAAAAGTTATCCATGCTAAAGCAATTGATTGTGGCATTAGTTAGAGGACTAAACTCAAATCCAGCTGCCATAATTAAGAAGATAGCTGGACTAGTATGTATTTTATCACATTTTATTATGTTGCCCTTTTTTTATCGATAAGGATGTCCTAGCATATTATTGTTGCTTTAATTTCATAATTGTAACTTGGAAATTTTTTTTCCTTCTACTAATATGCACTTTACAATTTTGATGCATATTGTTTCAATTAATGCATATGATTATATTCCCAAACAATTTATAAAATAGAAATTTCCAGATTAGAAATAGTATAAACTTTTCAAGAAACATTTATTTTAAGATTATTGGGCTGTCTGTGTTAACAAAGATTTTTCTTTCTGATGTTAGTCATGAGGCTACAACTTTGTCTGGAAGAAGTAATTTCAGTATAATTTTTATTTAACATGCTGTTGCTGGGCATTAGAGGAATAGATCAACATTGTTATTTTTTTTTTAAGCACAGTTAGGGGTGTTTTATGCTTACTTTGACCTCTATTTCTAAACAGGTTTCTGATTTTTATAAGCGTCCCAGTGTGGAAAGTCCAGCAAAAGCTGCACTAGAGGAAACCTCTCACATGTTTGAGAGTCGAGGTGTCCAGCTGCTTGGGCAAATAAAGCATGGTTCTTGTCGTCCTCGAGCTATCTTATTTAAAGTATTAGCTGATACTGTTGGTCTTGAAAGTAGGCTCGTGGCGGTAAGCTCTAATTTCTGTTGGGGGGGGGGTTCAATTGCTCTCTAACATACACTGTCTGCACTTGATTGCCAGTTTACTGAATATACATTGAAATTTAAGATGTATTTAGCAGAAAAGTTAATGGTGGAGACTCAATGTTGTATATTAGTTTGGCTCTTTATTCTCTCACCTAGTGGGATAAGGATTTGGTTTATTGTTGTTGCTATTCAGTTTTGTTCTTAATCATATCCAATTTTATAAGGATATATCTTGTATTACAATTTTCTTTATCAGGGGTTGCCAAATGATGGAGCTACTGAATGTCAAGACTCGTACAAGCATATGTCTCTGATAGTTGTATTAAATTCTGTGGAGATGCTGGTTGATCTCATGCGATTTCCAGGCCAATTGTTACCACGATCAACCAAGGCAATTTTTATGACTCACATTTCTGCAGCAGGAGAGAGTGATTCAGCAGAAAACGATTCTTGTGATTCACCATTAGAACCAAACAGCCCTTTATTTGGGGTTTCAGATAGGTTAGATCCTAACAAGTTTAAAAACTGTTGTTATTATTGCTTGGGCTTGATTACGTTTTTGTTCCCTTTAAATTTGATTATACTCCCCTAATTTTAATTACAACAATGTCATGTTGTAGTTATTAAATTGCTGCAACAACGTTGCGACACTTTTTCCTGATCTAGTATTATGACATGTCATCTCCAAGTCAGCAAATTCAACAACTAAAGGAGGATTGTTTTTAAGTTTTATGTCATGTTGAAAAAAGGCAAGAGCACATCAGCCTCAAAGTGATGGGACATAATTGTATCAACTATAAAATAGGATAACATGTTGCAATTAAAAATATAGGGGAACCAAAATTAGGATAAGATTGTGCTCAAAGGTCTCATAAAGGCATCGGCTTTTTTTTTTTCCTTTTGATTATGCATTTGCCAAATTGTCAAGTTGATCTTGCACTGAACACTTGGTCAAATGTAACTTCCCTACATGGTGCCAATAATAAAAAAATTCTGAGATTATATGATAGGTACAAAACCTTTAGAGCTTCTTCTTTAATGTTTATATATTTTCTTCCACTTACAAGAGTTGTCAATTGATTGGTATTTCATTGTCCTCTCTTAGTGTTGACAAGGAGGAAAACCTCCAATTCCATAGAAAATATGAAGCATCTTCAAATGCATTGGGTCTTTCCTTGAGAAATGCAATGTTACGATCAAATAGCAGTTTGAGGTAATGCTTTTCATTTCTTATCAGCCATATTTCATGGTGGCTTTTTCTCATTGTTTTCCTCGAGGGGCAGATTGTCCACTTTTTCCTCCTATTAGATTTTGTTATATTAGGTTTTCTTGGTGTATACCAAGGAATTCATTTTTCTAGAATCTGTAATAATGTACACTACTATGTACCAACTGTTTCTTGTATGAACTGTGTTGAATATAGAGGAAATATGGTTTGAGATTAATCTCTCTTGTGTATAAATCACACATAGGGTAATCTATTTATAATAGGGAGAGGTACAACTAAAAGAGTAACCGAAAGTAAACAAAATAAACAGAAGATATTGTTTGATATTTTGGTTAACAATATTTAACAATATTTAAACAATATCTAAACAATATTTAACACTTCCCCTCAAGCTGGAGCATACAAATCGTATGTACCAAACTTGTTACAAATATAATCAATTCTAGGCTCCCGTAAAGACTTAGTAAAAATATTTGCTAATTGATCACTTGAGTTAACAAACTCAGTCTTGATGTCTCCAGACATAATCTTTTCTCGAATGAAATGACAGTCAATCTCAATGTGTTTGGTCCTCTCATGAAAGACAGGATTATAACTAATATGAAGAGCAACCTGATTGTCACACACAAGTGTCATTTGAGTGACATCTCCAAATTGTAACTCTCTAAGCAATTGCTTGAGCCAAACACTTCCAACACTCGAGTGTTGATAAAAGACAGAATGATCTGCTTCACATCGAGTCATAACAAATTGTTGAACAATCTTGCTAAACTTTCCAAACCAGGTCCTAGGAGACTGTTTTAGGCCATATAGGGATTTGCGAAGACGACATATCATCCCAAAAGACTCCCCCTGAGCAACAAACCCAGGAGGTTGCTCCATATAGATTTCTTCTTGCAAATCACCATTGAGGAAAGCATTTTTAACATCCAGTTGATAAAGAGGCCATTGTTGAAGAGCGGTCATAGCGATAAATAAACGAACAGAAGCCATTTTCGCCACGGGGGAAAAGGTATCTCCATAATCTAACCAAAAAATTTGAGTATAACCTTTAGCCACCAGACGAGCTTTGAGACGATCAATAGTACCATCAGGTCCAACTTTGATAGCAAACACCCACCTACAACCAACAACAGATTTTCCAGACGGTAACGGGACCAATTCCCAAGTTCCACTATTATGAAGAGCACTTAGTTCATCTAACATGGCCTGACGCCAACCAGGATGAGCTAAAGCTTCAGGAACAGTTTTTGGAATGGTCACAGAAGAAATAGAGGAAAAACATGTATAAAAAGATTATGACAGTCGATGATAACTCAAAGCAATATAACGGGGAGAGGGATTACGTGTAGAACGAATACCTTTTCGGAGGGCAATGGGAAGGTCAGACTCAGGTGTCAGATCTGGAGGAGACAAAGTAGTGACACTTGAGTGGAGTCACATGGTGGTGGTTGTGGTTGATTTCGGTAATTATAAACCTGAAGAGGCAGTGGAGAAGAAGCTAACTGCGGAACAGGAACTAATGGTGAAGAAGACACAGTTAGAGGGTCACACACAACATGAACATTAAATGTACTAGGAGTGTTGACAGGATTGGATGGAGACAGAGGTGAAAATTGACTTTTAAAATAAAGAGAGAACTCATCAAAGGTGACATCTGCAAACACAAAATAACGGTTAAGAGAAGGAGAAAAATATTTGTATCCTTTTTGTGATCTTGTAAATCCTAAGAAAATACATTTATGTGATCTAGGAGAAAATTTATCAAGACCAGGACTTAAATTATGAACAAAACATGTAGACCCGAAAATTCTTAGAGGTAAGGATTGAAGAGGTTCATGAGGGAATAAAATAGAATGAGGTATTTTATTATCTAAAATCGAAGAAGGCATACGATTAATGAGATAACATGCAGCAAGAAGAGCATCACCCAAAAAATGTTGAGGAACCTCTACATGAATTAAAAGAGTGCAAGTTGTTTCAATATGATGTCTATTTTTGCGTTCAGCTACACCATTTTGTTGAGGTGTATAAGCACAAGAAGTTTATTGGAGGATACCGTGAGAAGCCATGAAATGTTTAAAAGAATGAGAAAGATATTCACGATCATTATCATTGTGCAAAACTCTAATAGAAACACCGAACTGAGTTTGAATTTCATTGAAAAAAGTTTGAAAGATATGAAATAATTCAAAACGATTTTTCATCAAAAATAACCAAGTGCATCTGGAATAATCATCAATGAAAGTAACAAAGTATTGAAAACCTAAAGTAGACTTAACGCGGCTAGGTCCCCAAATGTCAGAGTGAACCACGACAAAAGGGGACGAAGCACTGCGTGTGACACTACGAGGAAAGGAAGTACGACTATGTTTGCCTAATTGACACGACTCACACGCCAAACTAGACAAGTTAGACAAGGCAGGGACAAGTTTCTGTAACTTGGCAAGACTTGGATGACCTAACTGAGCATGAAGAAGAGAGGGAGACTCCATAATTGCACCAACATGTGTAGAGGGATGGAGATGATAAAGACCATGAGACTTATATCCTGTGCCAATTACTTGTTTTGAATTCCGATCCTGTAAACACACAGAATTGTTGATAAAAGAAACAACACAATCAAGAGAACGAGTTAGACGACTGATGGACAATAGGTTAAAAGGAGACTCAGGGACATAAAGAACATTATCAATGGTTAAAGAAGGGAAAAGTTTAACAGTTCCAACACCATGAGATGATACTCTAGAGCCATCCGTTGGTGTAACACAAGGTAAAGGATTAGAAGAGCAAAGATTTGTTACCAGTAATATGATCAGTGGCTCCTGAATCAAAAACCCAAGGACTAGAAGAGGATTGAGTCAGACCAGCAAAACATGTATCTGTGTGTGCGAAAAACGTAGTGGAACTAGGAGATTGTTGGTCCTTATACCATTTGAGAAATTTGTTGAACATATCAGGTGTGTCGGATGCAATAGAAGGAGGAGGATCCCCAACAGACAAAGGTGGGGAACGATTGGTCTAAACAACTGCAGTAGATCGAGGAGGAAGACCATGTAATGCATAACACTTGTTAATTTTGTGACCTAGCTTGCTACAATGTGCACACTTAGGACGTCCTTTTCCCTATTTGTGAGGGCGAGTCCAGTCATCACAGTGAGATGCCAACACAGAAGAATCATTAACAAAATTAGAAGTAGTAGAAGGAGTGGAAGAAGTCATGAAGGGCAGGAGAACAAACATTAAAAAAAATCCAAAATAATCCAATCAACCCACGAAACACAGATCCAAAACGAGAAGACCAAAACAAGTCCGTCAAGACTAAACGACGTAGGAGACAACAGACAACCAACTCTGATAGTGGTGATCTCAAAGGCACGGTGATCACCTTACAGAAACGAACAAAACCGTATGTCACCAGTCAAAAATGAAACTCCGACGACGGCTCCGGTGACTGCTCCGGCGGCGGCGGTAGTGACAGTAGCGTGAACCAGTACACCAGGTAAGTTCCCAGGAAAGAGAGGTGGGTCACTAATGGACACGCTTAAATACCAAGTCTTTTCTTGTCAGAACCTTCCTAGACATGCACTTTCACACTACCAAATAATATCAAGCAATAAAGATAACTCTTTTCTGATGTGGAAGATTAGTTTAACCGGCAGTAGCGGCGGTGGCAACTTCAGCAGTGGATAATGGCGAAAAAATTTCAAAATAACCTTAAGCTCTAGATACCATGTTGAATATAGAGGAAATATGGTTTGAGATTAATCTCCCTTGTGTATAAATCACACATAGGGTAATCTATTTATAATAGGGAAAGATACAACTAAAAGAGTAACCGAAAATAAACAAAATAAACAGAAGATATTGTTTGATATTGTGGTTAACAATATTTAACAATATCTAACAAACTGTTTTGTCAATTATATATTAGGTTTTCTTGGTGTATACCAGGGAATTTATTTCACTAGAATCTTTAATAATGTGCACTACTATGTACAAACTGTTTATTGTTTGATTTGTTTTGTCAATTATTTCAGCTTTTCACATAGTGAACCCAATATTGCCACTACATTAGGTCGGCGTAGTCGGAGAAAGATCATTGCTGAACAGAGGACAGCTAGTTCAAGGTTATTAATTATTCTTTTCTGTTTTTCGAGTGATGTGCTCTTCCCCATATGATTTATGTATTTTCCTAATCTTTATATTTTTCTTATTTATAAAAAGATAACATTGGGGATTTAGCTTATGCCTCTTTTATTTTAACATGGTATCTAGAGTTAGATTTAATCATTGTCTCCTTGGTGAATCCACTGTTCACCGGCGCTACATATATATATATATATATATATATATATATTTATATATATATTTATTTATTTGTTCCAGTTTTTTGTTTCAACAGGTTCAAAACACATGATCCATATTATTAATGATATTTGTTTCTTACCCTGGTTTGCCCTTCTTCTCTTGGTTTCTGTCAGTATGAGAAGGTTTAGAGTCTTGATGGGATAGAGCCTGGAGTGTGATACTACTACAAGGCATAGCTGTTGATATTGTTTTCATGATCAAAAAAGGAATGCTATATGAACATGTCCTGAACCCTAGATAGATTTACTTACTGATTACTCTTTCCAAATATGGAATGTTTGTTTCTCATATTATAGATTTTCACAAAAGTATTGGTCATGGTCTCTGTGAAATTCATTATTGCTCTATCATAGTTAGAAGTGTATCACAGTGGATAGGAAGAAGATTAAGAAAGAATCATACAAGGAGAAATTGGTTATGATATATTGCACATGGTTATTTGTGATAAAAGCATTTTATTGTTATTAGTATTTTTTGCAGTTTAGAGGTAGAGACTTACTAATCAGTGAAAAATTTCATGACTTCTGAAAGTCGATGTTTGGTCTCTATAGTCTTCATCGAGTATTTGAACATATAAAAGTTATGCATTTATTACTTTAGACATTGATGTTTTAGGTGTGGCACAACATGATGACTTTAATTCTACACATGCACTAGTACTGCATGACGATGAATGGAGCAAACATACTCGTCAAAATTGCAGTGATGCCAGTGAGAATGGAATTTCACTTTTCCGGATGTTTTGTGGTGCAAAGTGTTTAATAATTAGGCCATGAAGACCTAAGTTCTCTGGAAAGTGGAGTCCAATTTTATTTTCATATTTGAATCAATAATACGAGAATATGTTAATTCTGTCATGGAATATTTGATCTGCTTTTCTTGTTTATCATATTGTTTTTGTTTTCTATTTTAGGATGCCCTTGTCATATGCAGACTCCATTTGGTCTTGTATAACTTGTGAGAATTAGACTTGTAGGGTTATTGTACTATCATCCAATGTTCAAATATCTAAACTTTCATTTTGATGCCTAATTTTTCTAATTCAGCTTCTGTGATCAACATAATCAATCTGTCACTTGTATTAGCATATTATTAAGTTGTTCATTGTGGTGTTTGTGCTATGCTTCTGTATTTCTCTGTGCTTGTTCTTTACTTCCTGCATTCTTTCTATCAATGCCTGGACATGGATATTTTTGTGAACATATCAGCAACTAATTTAAGGATTAGAGCAGAGTTTTAATTACAATTTTTGGTAAGGAGTTAGGAAATGGCAAGTTTGCCTTTCATTTTGCACATTATGTTGGAAATCCTATATCAACTATAGATATGCCAACTTACAAATTGGTTTTGTAGGATTGTGTTAGATCCATATCCACTTTCTAATATGGCATTAGAGCCTAACTAAAAGATGTTTGTTAGGACCTTTTTAGCAACCACTATCACATTACTCACTCAGTGTGAGTGAGTGTGTTTGAAATCTCATGCTTTGAAATATTTCTGGTTTTGCAGTCCAGAACATCCTTCATTGCGAGCACAGGGACGATCCATGCTTAGTGGTGATCGGACATCATTTAGAGATTTTACTGATGATCAGGCTCCATCAAGGTTGTCATTAGTTGATACCAACTCTATTTATTTATTTGTTTACTGTTCTCCTTTCATTCTGAACACCTGCTAATAAATTTTTGTTTACCTAAGCTTGTATTGCCCTGTCATGGTTTTCACTTTTATTGTTATTACTTTTTGTATTAACAGTTAATCAGTATATTTACATAATTGTTTGTAATGGAAGAGATTTAATATATATATATATATATCAAATGATGTGCTTCTTGAGATTTAATCAAACACAAACATATAAATCTACGGGTTGATTTATTATTATCAAACACAAACATGTCAAACACAAATGACATGAAAAATAGAGTATTAGGTTGTGGGGGAATCCACTTGAGCTATAAATCTACTGGTTGAATATTATAATCATTTTCCTTTTTACTATGCATAGTATTGTAGGTGTGTCCATTGGGTGAAATAACTAAACAACCTAATCCAAACTCAAACAAATTAAGTTGAATTTTCTTTGTAATTTAGTTGAATTCAATCAAACCGATCTGATCCAATATTTTACATGATAGGGTAGGACAAACGGGGGGGGGTCACGGTCCCCCCTCAAAAAAATATTAATTCTTTAAGATTTTATTAAAAAAACTATATTATGATCCCTATAAAAAAATATTTGCATTGACCCCGTAATTGTAATGTTCTGTAAAACTTTCCACAATATTAGCTTTTAATCTTTAATACCTTGCATTCAGTATGTGATATGAATCACAACGGGTAATTTAGGATCTTTAGGGTTAAAACCTTGTAAGAAATTTAGGAATTAGAAAGAAGGTGGAAGGAAAGAATCACTCTTCCCAAGGGAGGCAACACACAAAGGATGTGACAGTCCTTTGATATAGCCAAGGGTTTTTGAATCACTCAAAAATTTAGGAGAATCACTCTCACTAAGATAAAAGAGATAAAGTCTAATATTTCTGAATAAAATTTCACTTGTTATTTCTTGATAAGAATGGTTCAGCTGATATAGAAGCGTTGCCATCAGAATTACAAGAGACTCAATAAAAGAAAATAAATACTAATAATAACCCATTAATCTAGGAATTGAAAACTATTTAATGGAAACAAATAAAAGCTAATAATGATTCATTAACCTAGGAATTGAAACTACTTAATGACTGATTGTATCTGAAACTGTGGCATCCAAAAGTCAATAAGCTATGCACCCTCTTGGTCTCCCAAAGGCTGATGACTAAATTTTCAATTGGACCCTTATTACAACTTAAAACAAAATCAAACTAAAGCCCATTAATTGATTAATCCAAAACACAATTTGGTCAACCAACAATACTTGTTGAAGAGCTTCATTTGTTTCCCTTGCTCTAGCCTTTATCATAGGTCATGTTCACATCATTCTCTCCCTCTTGAAAATGATTTTTCCTCAAATCGGATTCGTCATCTACATAAAAAAGAGATAAGTCTGATAAATTGAATGTAGAACTAACATTATACGCACTTTTTATGGCTAAATAGCTCTCCTTCACTTCAATTGTTTCACTCTTCTTTTTTTCTAGAAGAAATTTTTCTCATTTTCTTTTTGTCCTCCTCTTCCATCAATTTGTTGTTCAAACCTTTAAACCGGGGCTCTGAATACCAACTGATATGAATCACAAGGGGTAATTTAGGATCTTTAGGGTTAAAACCTTGTAAGAAATTTAGGAATTAGAAAGAAGGTGGAAGGAAAGAATCACTCTTCCCAAGGGAGGCAACACACAAAGGATGTGACAGTCCTTTGATACAGCCAAGGGTTTTTGAATCACTCAAAAATTTAGGAGAATCACTCTCACTAAGATAAAAGAGATAAACTCTAATATTTCTAAATAAAATTTCACTTGTTATTTCTTGATAAGAATGGTTCAGCTGATATAGAAGCGTTGCCATCAGAATTACAAGAGACTCAATAAAAGAAAATAAATACTAATAATAACCCATTAATCTAGGAATTGAAAACTATTTAATGGAAACAAATAAAAGCTAATAATGATCCATTAACCTAGGAATTGAAACTACTTAATGACTGATTGTATCTGAAACTGTGGCATCCAAAAGTCAATAAGCTATGCACCCTCTTGGTCTCCCAAAGGCTGATGACTAAATTTTCAATTGGACCCTTATTACAACTTAAAACAAAATCAAACTAAAGTCCATTAATTGATTAATTCAAAACACAATTTGGTCAACCAACAATACTTGTTGAAGAGCTTCATTTGTTTCCCTTGCTCTAGCCTTTATCATAGGTCATGTTCACATCAGTATGTGTCAGTTCACTTTAAAATGTTGCGAAAACTTAATAAATAAGTATAAAAATAAGGGTAGTTGCCTTAATTATCATCAGTCTAGACAGTGTGAATTGGACTAGGGAATGTAGAAATGATTTTCCTTTCTGCTTATAATTTGTTGTGTCATTGACATTTACTCTACTCATCCCTTATATGCTACAAGTATCTTTGGAATAATTTATGTTGTTGATTTTTTGTCCTGGTTCTTTTTTATGTCATGATTTCTTATACATATTATTTATAAGAGGAGTTTGTCCATTTCTCAGATCAAGCTATAGGTCAGATGGTGCATCCTCGTCAGAAGCTCGTAGGATACGAAGAAGAAGCATCAGCATTACACCAGAGATTGGAGATGATATCGTAAGGTTGATTATTGTTCTAGATGCTTATGGATTTATGCTTGCTTTAATTGTGAAGTGTGCTTTCCTTGGTATATTGTTTTATTTGCTTTGAAATGATTGAGTGAACAACTACTTAATCTGCATTTTGTAGTAGTTTTTTCTTATATTTGATTCGTTCTTTTTGGACATATGCATACTCGCATGCATTCTTAGATTTGTTAAAGATGATAGCCATGTGAACCTCAGGAAAGGGTGAAGATGATTCATGGAAGGTTCTTGGATGAATGAAGGTGGCGAAAGTTTGCATATGAAGTTTGCTAGGCTCTGGGTAAATCTTTGATGGTTTCTTGGCTAAAGATGTAGGGATGACAAAGGTAAGCTCATACTAAATTAAGAACAAAGATAGGTAGGGGAAAGATGTTGTGATTGTGAGGGTGAAGGTGTTTAGGATTCTTGGAGGGGTGTTCTTGGTGGGTTTCTTGGGCTATTTTTATGAAGGGAGGCTCAGTTAATGGTTTGATGAAAGGGAAAGCCATTTTCTTGGTTTCTTTTGGTTTTCTAAGATGAGAAAATAAGTTTCTTGGCTAAAGATGTAGGGATGACAAAGGTAAGCTCATACTAAATTAAGAACAAAGATAGGTAGGGGAAAGATGTTGTGATTGTGAGGGTGAAGGTGTTTAGGATTCTTGGAGGGGTGTTCTTGGTGGGTTTCTTGGGCTATTTTTATGAAGGGAGGCTCAGTTAATGGTTTGATGAAAGGGAAAGCCATTTTCTTGGTTTCTTTTGGTTTTCTAAGATGAGAAAATAAGATAGAATGGTGTTGAAGGGAGGAGTGCATGCATCCTTAGTCAAGGTTCTTGAAAAACACCAAGAGGGATCTTTGAAAAAACAAGAGAAGGAAAGTCACTTGGATTCACGCAAATAAGGGTTATCCGAGGAAAGGAGAACTCACTTTCTCAAAAACACTTGTATATATTAATTACAATTATGTACAAGGTGACACTTGACCCCTTTTATATAAAAATGTGAGTCAAGACAGGGAGAAGAAAAGGATGGGGCTAAACAAAACTAAGCCCAAACTATTTGATCCTAACCCTAACCAATGTACAGTGATTCAACTCATACTAAGCTAAAACAAGAGCATGGTTGAGTTGAATTCTTTCCTACAATCTTACCATTTTTAGTAGCTTGATGAATGTGTTTTTCAAGCTCCTTTCCTTTGCTTATGGTCAAGACTTCCCTAAAAGCTTTCTTGATTTCTTTCATTCTTTCTCTCCTTTTCCTTAAGCTTGACCATGTTTCTTGTTGCAACCCTCCTTGTTGAGAGCCTTCATCGTCTATAATCACATCAATTGCATCCTTTGATCATTCTCTTCATTTAGACCAAAGGTTTGAACAATGTGACTAGGGGTGTCAATATGAGTTTTAACCTGTGAGCCAACCTGACTCACCACAAGTTTGATTCGGGTTGGGTTGAAAAAAATTTAAATTTTTTTCATAATGGGCTAAAGCGAGCTTGACTCACTTAACCTATGGGTTAAACGGATTCAAGCTGGGTTGGTGGTGGAATGATCTGTTTTCTTTAATCTTTAATATTCTAATTTTTCTTATCCATGTGTTAGTGTAAATCTATGAAGAAAAAAAATATTTTAGTTAGTCAACTCACTTAACCCACTTATTTTAGTAAATCAACCTACCTAGTAATTTTTAAAAAATAATTAAAAAGAGATATATATTGAAGCGAGTCAATCCACCTAATCCACCAATCTTGATATATTGTAAAATTTTTTACTCGGGTTGACTCAATTTGACACCCCTAAATGTGACTAAATTTGTCAAACCAAGTATGTGGAGATTGTTTGAGACCATAGATAGATCAATACAATTTACATACCAAACCAAACTTCCCCTAAAAAACAAACCTAAGATGTTGCTCGATGCAAATCTCTTCCTCTAGATCACAATAAACAAATGCATTTTTAATATTCAGTTGATGAAGTGGACAATGACAACCATTGCAGAGAAGATATAGTAATGACTTTAACCATAGGAGAGAAGGTATCCCCATAATCAATACCATATATTTGAGTGTATCCCTTGACTACTAGTCTAGCTTTGAGATGATTCACTTGACCATTTGATCCAACTTCAATGCCATAAACCTAACGACGACTAACTATCTTCTTTCTAGAAGGAAGAGGAACTAATTTCCATTAGCTATATGCTCCAGAATTTGCATTTCAACAATCATGGCTTGTCGTCCTTTATGATAATCAAGTTTTCATTCACATTTTTTGAAATAATAACAGAAGATACAAAGGAGACAAAAGAATAATATGAAGAGACGATCAGTGCTAACTTAGAAAATTTTAAATAGGATCAGAATTATGAGTAGAAAGATTAATTTTTTCGATAGCGATGAGTCAACTAAAATCTTTAGTATCAGATGTTGTCGTATTGAGTGACAATGGGAGAACATGACGAAGATGACTCTTCATGTGGGATTGAACCAGATATTTGGGTCCTGCATTGGTAAGTGATAGTAGGTGGTGATGATGGTTTGAGTGGACTTCGGTTAGGAGAGGGGCTTTGAACATTGGGTGGAGTTAGTGTGTGGAGGTAAAGAGAGATAACTTGCTCAACTAATGGTACATGTAAGACCTATTGGACAAAGTTAACATCTTGTATGGAAGGAGAGAAGAAGGGATGTTCTTAAAAAAGATGATACTTGCAAACGTGTAATACTTTTTAGTCAGGAAAATAATATCTATATCCTGTTTGAAGATGATAATATCTTGAAAAGACACATTCGATAGCTCTTGCTTAGAGTTTGTCTAGACCTAGAGATATTTCATGTACAAAACACATGAGAAAACGAAAGAGGTTCCTTTAGAAACAAACAAGGAGCAAGGAGCTTTATTTTCCAAAGAAGAGAGCATTCTATTCATAAGGTAACATGCAGTGAGAATAGCATCCCCTAGTGATGGACAAGTATATTGACACCAATCAATTACGTTTTTGTGTTATTTCAACCAAGTATCTATTTTTCCTTTGAACTATATCATTTTATTGAGGTGTATGGGGACAAGTGGATTGATGCAAAATGCAATGTGAATTTAAAAGAGTGGCAAAAGCAGAAGAAAAATATTTTTTGGCATTATTGGTTCTCATACCTTTGATAACTTGGCCAAATTGGTTTTTTATTTCATTGAGGAAAGACATAAAAATATTCAAAATGTTATACCTATCTTTCATTAAGTAAACCCACGTACAACAAAAGCATTCATCTATAAATGTGACAATATCAAAAACCAAAAGATTTGACTCAGCTTGGAACCTAAATGTCAAAATGAATTGTAGAAAAGAAAATTAAACATGTTTACTTAATTGATGTGATTCACATTCTAAGACTTGAAGTTTGCTAATAAGAGGAATCATCCTCTTTAATTTTGATAAGTGTGAATGACCAAAGCGATTATGCAAATGTTTAATAGATGGGAATTCCAAACAAGATGTAGATGGACTTGTTTCAAGATAGTATATAATCCCTGAGATTCATGTTCTTTGCTAGTCAGTCAACCCATACCATGTTTCTATATGACAAAAGAATTGACATCAAAGGTGGGGTATGCAACAATTTAATGATTTTGTTAGTTGACTTAAAGAAATTAGGTCAAAAGGGCAAGTAGGAACAAGTAGAACAAACTTTAGGTCAAGGAGGGAGAAAGGGAGATTTGACCAACTCCTTGAGAAACAACTTTGAATCCATTGGCTAAAGTAATACTTGAAATAGATAATAGGAAAATAAAAAGATGTTTTTGAGAGCATATCCTTTTCTCTTGTGTTCTCTTAGGGATAAAGATATAGATTCCGAGATACAATAAATAGGGAGAAATGATTAAACCTAGAGAAGATAAACAGATACATTCTAGGAACTAGGTCAATAGTTAGATACAACTGATCTAATAAATACGCAACACTCCCCCTTAAGCTGGAGCATACAAATTGTATGTACCAAGCTTGGAACAAATGAATTCCATTCGAGGTCCTCTCAAAGATTTTGTTAATGCGTCTCTAAGCTGATTATTGGAACCAACAAACTCAGTACAAATTTCTTTAGACAATAACTTCTCTTGAAAAAAGTGACAGTCAATCTCAATATGCTTAGTCCTCTCACGAAATACTGGGTTGGAAGCAATGTGGAGAGTAGTGTTGAAGTATTTATTAGATTAGTTGTATCTTGTTGGGCATTTATGAAATTAGTTGTAGACCTAGTTCCTAGAATGCATCTGTTTATCTTCTCTAGGATTAATCATTTCTCTCTATTAATTGTATCTCTGAATCTGTATCTTTATCTCCTATAAATAAGAGAACACAAGAGAATGATTTCAGGCTCTCAAAATTAGTTCTTTATTTTCCTTTTCTATTTCAAGTAGTAGCTTGATTATCACAATACATCTTCATAGGTTGAATCTAGAAGTTCAGTTCTTGCAAGAATTGTTTTACCCATACAAGTTCACAATTGAGAGATGTCATTGCCCTATATTCAGCTTCAGCAGAGGATCGGACAATAACATTTTGCTTTTTGCTTTTCCATGAAATGATATTACCTCCAAGGAAAACATAGTAGCCTATAGTGGGTCGTCTGTCCATAGGAGATCCAGCCCAGTCAGCATCATAGTACCAAAAAATTTGGGTATTTCCCTTATCTTCATATATCAAACCTTGTCCTGGAGCTCTTTTAATATATCTTAGGATTCGAATGATAGCATTCCAATAATCAACACAAGGGGTTTGCATAAATTGACTGACAACACCAACTGCAAACGACAAATTAGGTCTAGTAATAGTCAGATAAGTTTCCCAACCAGTCTTCTATATCTTTCTAGGTCAGCGAAAGCTTCACCTTGTCCTGCCATTAATTTTAAATTTGGATCCATAGGGCTGTCCACAAGTTTGCAATCAATCATACTTGTCTCTTTTAGAATATCTAGAGCATATTTCCTTTGAGAAGTGACAATACCTTCTCTTGATTGAGCCACTTTAATACCTAAGAAATATTTTAGATTTCCAAGATCCTTAGTCTGAAAACGACTACACAATTGCTCTTTTAGCTGAGATATTCTAGCAGCATCATTCTCTATGATGACAATATCATCAACGTACACAATTAAATAAACATGTTTGTCAGGGGCAGTGTGACAATAAAACACTAAATGATCTTCTTTGCTTCGTTTTAATCCAAAAGCTTGAACAATAGAGCTGAATTTTCCAAACCAAGCACGTGGAAACTGTTTTAGGCCATAGAGAGATCGACGTAATTTACAAACCAAACTAGACTTCCCTTGATTAACAAATCTAGGAGGTTGTTCCATGTAAACCTCTTCTTCTAAGTCACTGCGCAAAAAAAACATTTTTAATATCCAATTGATGAAGAGGTCAATGACGAATGACGGCCATGGCAAGGAATAGGCGGACAACGGTCATTTTGGCTACAGGAGAAAAAGTATCACAATAATCAAGTCCATATATATTTGAGTGTACCCTTTAGCCACTAACCTGACTTTGAGACGATCAACTTGGCTATTAGGCCCAACTTTAATAGCATAGATCCAATGACAACCAACTGTTTTCCTCCCCGAAAGGAGAGGAATCAGCTCCCATGTTTTGCTGTGATCAAGAGTCTGCATTTCAAAAATCATGGCTTGTCGCCATCCAAGATGATCAAGTGCTTCTGTCACATTTTTGGGGATTGTAATAGAGGATACAAAAGAAATAAAAGAAAAATAGGAAGGAGACAATGTATGATAGTTAAGAAAATTGTAAAAGGGATGAGGATTACAAGTAGAACGAGTACCTTTGCGAATGACAATGACCAACTGGAGTCATCGGTATTAGGAGCCGTGGTATTAGAAGATGATTAAGAAGAACCTATTATAGGCGGCTCATCTTGGGGAATGAGATTGCTCATCGGGTTCCTGCGTTGATAGGTGATGAAAGGCTGTGATGATGATTCTGGAGTATTTTGGGTGGGATTTGGGGTGTCAGAAATAGGAGGTACAAATGACTCAACTAAGGAGATAGGAAGATTATGTTGGACACAATCAATATCCTGTACAAAAGAAGGGAAGAAGGGGGATGATTAAAAAAAAGTGACATTAGCAGACATGTAGTACCTCTTAGTTTCAAGAGAATAACACCGATATCCTTTTTGAAGACGAGAATATCCCAAGACACATTTGATAGCTCTAGCTGAGAGTTTATCTAAGCCTGGAGACATATTATGAACAAAACAAATATATCAAAATACCCAAGGAGAAACACGAAAGAGTAGTTCCTTTGAAAATAGAATAGAGTGTGAAACTTTATTGTCAAGAGAAGAAGATGACATTCTATTAATGAGAAAACATGTAGTTAGAATAGCATCTCCCCAATGATGAATAGACATATTGACACCAAACAATAAGGCACGAGCAGTTTCAATCAAATGTTTATTTTTCTATTATGCTATACAATTTTGCTGTGGTGTGTGAGGAGTGGACTAGTGTAAAATGCCCTGAGAACTTAGGATGTCAGAGAAATCATTAGAAAAGTATTCTTTGGCATTATCACTTCGTAAAACTTTGATTATTTTTCCAAATTGAGTTTTGATTTCTGTTGAAAGTCCCACATCACCTACCTCATGTCATTTGGTATGGTTTAAATACATGTTAGGCTACTCCACATATTGCCAATTGGTTTTATGTTGGAACCTTAACATGGTATCAGAGCCAAAGCCTAACATCTTTCCGGTTATTGTCATGGGCCAAAAGTTGCCCTTTAGTTGGGTCAAAAGTACCCTTTGCCTGGTCCGGCGGGCTTCGTTGGAGGGGGTGTGTTGAAAGTCCCACATCGCCTACCTCATGTCATTTGGTATGGTTTAAATACATGTTAGGCTACTCCACATATTGCTAATTGGTTTTATGTTGGAACCTTAACAATTTCATTAAGAAAAAAACTTAAAGATAGGCAATAGTTTTGAGCGATCTTTCATTAGATAAACCCAAGTACATCTAGAAAACCCATCAATAAAAGTAACAAAATATCTAAAGCCAAAAGATGAAACACGACTAGGTCCTCTGATATCTGAATGAACAATACTAAAAGCAGAATCATGTCTAGATTCAGAATGATTTGGAAAAGATCACCTGGTATGTTTCCCTAGTTGACATGATTCACATTCAAAAGTTTGAAGGTTCTGAAGTTCAAGAACCATTTTTTTCAGTTTGCCAAATGAGGATGCCCTAATCGCTCATGTAACCGTTTTGGGGATAAGGATGCAACACAAGATACAGATGAATTCGTCCCAAGGTAGTATAAGTCTTCAGAACTGAGCAATTCAATGATTTGGTTAATTGGCTTACGGAAACAAGACTGAATGGAAAAGAAGGAACAAAGAATATTTTGTAAGTTTAAAGAAGAAGAGATGGATACTTGACCAATCCCTTTAGAGGCTACTTTAGATCCATTGGCTAAAGATATGAGATGGGAGGTTTTAGGAAATGATAGAGAGGAGAATAAAGAGGTATTACCAGACATGTGGTTAGAAGCACCTAAGTCAATAATCCACGGATTTTGACTTTTCACAGATTGCGAAATGCAAGCAGTTGACGAATTTGGAGTTGTAGATGTTGAGCTAGACTGGTTGATTTCATCCTTAAATATTCTTGATACTCTTCATGAGAGAAATTGTGCTCAACAACTTCAGATTTTGAAGTATTGGTTGTCTTATCAGGATAGTCATGTAGAGCAAAGCAATTTTCCTTAGTATGACCCATTTTTTTGCAATGAGTATACTAAGGACGTCCTCTACCACCACGTCCTCTATTGCCGTGATTACCTCTTTCACGAGCAGAAATCATGGCAGAAGATTCAACAAGTTCTTCACTATTTTTACTTTTGATAGATGGAACACGAAGTAGCCTTGTGATCAAACTCTCCATAGAAGGAACTTCTTGTCCAGTTAAAATTTGATCTCTAACATGATTAAATTCTGGATTCATAGCCTAAGAATCATAACCATATAGAATTTATCCCGCTTCGTCTTTTTCTCCTTTAATGAATCTGCCTCAAGGAACATCTTTAATTCTTCAACTGCTGATTGAGCTTCAGCAACAAAGGACATCATATTATTATCCTCTTGCTTAAGGGAGGTTAGTCTCTTAGCAGAATCATAGAGCTGTTGAGTATCATTAGCAAAAATATTTTGGGCCTTTTTCCAGAAGGAATTACATGTCTTGAAGAATCGGAGAGTGCTCAAAATATTTGGTTCAACTAATTGTCATAATAGAGCACAACGTTGATAATCAAGTTTCTTCCATTGAGGAGTCTAATATGCTAGTTTTGTACTTTCGTCGTCTTCTATATGATCATGAACCCCTTGTCCTAGAAACCAGAGTTCAAATGAGGAGGCCCAAGACAATTAATTTTTTCCATTTAATTTTTTTGTTGTTATAGTAGGAGTCCCAGAAAAAGATACAAATGTTGCAGGTCCTGACATTTTTATTCAGGAAACAAGAGAGGACTCTTAAGAAAAAATATTCAGCAGGATGTTTGGAGAGAGACGACCGAGAGCAACGAGAGAGTACCAAGAAACAGTAACAGTGTATGTGACGTGTATACGAAAGGGGTTACCAAACTTTTGGAATATAAAACAAAGGGTTGATCCGGCTTCAGGACGACGAGGCGAGCCAGATGGCGGTGGTCTAGAGCAAAACAACCATCGGAAAGGCGGCGCGTGAACCACAAGCGCGGAGGAAGCAGCGGAGGAAGGCAGCGCGTGGCGGCGCGTCTACACAGAGATGGCTGAAGTGACCACCGAGGTTGGGTTGCACTCCTCGAGGCGATTCTAACCCAAGTATCGATGAGTGTAACGACGTCAGGGGACGACGGCGGCGGACGGTGGTTGACGATAGAGAAAAAAGGAGAGACAGGCATAGCGGGACAAACCTGCTCTGATACCAACTTGAAATAGATAATAGGAAAATAAAAAGATGTTTTTGAGAGCATATCCTTTTTCTCTTGTGCTCTCTTATTTATAGGGAATAAAGATACAAATTCTGAGATACAATAAATAAGGGGAAATGATTAAACATAAAGAAGATAAACAAATACATTCTAGAGACTAGATCAATAGTTAGATATAACTAATCTAATAAATACTCAACAGTAATGAAATGAGGATTTTTAGGAGAATATATGGAAGAAAACAAAGAAGCATTACCAAAAATATGATCAAAAGCACCTATAAATCAGTTCTCCATGGTTTGAGAAATGCAACCATTTGACACACTAGACTCGTTGGAAGATAGTGCTTGGCAGTTGGACTTTAACATAGATATTCTTCATATTCATCAACCTTATCAAATTGAGAGATGTTTGCTATCTTGTTAGAGAAGTCATGTAAAGAAAAACAATTCTCTTTAGTGTGACCCATTCTCTTATAATAAGAGCATTGAAAACCTCCTTGGCCACTTCATCCTCCTTTATTACTATGACCTCCTCTTCCTTGAGTAGATATCATAATATAGGCAACTAATCACCACAAATCAGGACCAAACAGTAGGTAGGAGCAAGGAGAGAGTGAGCCCAAGAGAGAGAAAACACCAACACGGTAAAAATGGCTTTGATTCATGAGGAGAACCTTGGCCCAACAACTCAACTAGCCTCAAGACATAAAAGTAAGGCCAGAATTGAGCTCGGATGGTGACTACGATTTGGGTGGTGGTGGTCTGGAAAAAATTCAAGATCACGCACATGAAGAATTTAGGAGAAGGGTGGGGCATGACACGAGACCATTGGGGTTGAGTTGCACTCCTTGAAGCTTACCTAAGCTCGACCTCACTTGGAAGAAAAATGGCGGACTGATAACAGTGAACAGTGGCCAGCAACAACAGATGGTGGTCAGACTCGCTTTGATATTAACTTGAGAGTGGAAAATGAGGAAAGAGATTCAGATATCTCTTAGCTGTTCCACATTGTTTATAGATGGAAAAATATGTCAGACTTACAAAGAGTGTGCTAGGAAAAACTATACATAGGAAACTGAAGCTAGCAAGTAAAAACAGCTTTTTAGGCAAAGAGTAAACCTATTTAAACAAGTTATTCTATCCACATAAACTATTCTAACAAGTTTGATTTTTTCTTTTATCTTTACTTATTTGACTTCCGTGTCGGGTTAACAAACAATTAGTAGAATGTAGAAAATGGTTTTTACCATAGCAACCAAATTCATCTAGAGTCTTTCTTTTTATTTAAATTCTCATGACCAGTTACAAGTTCCCAGGTCTGAACTGGTAATTTGTATTTATAGAGGTTTACAAAACAAGATCCAGTTGGGGCAAGCATAACATATTTTGGCACTTGAAGCTGGATGTGATTTATTTGTGGACAAAGATAACATCTCTTGCCACTGGATGTTATTATTTTGATTTGTGGCTTTGTTAGGTTGTCATACTGGTCCTGATATTATTTTATTCAAATGAAGTGTGTGATTGTCCCTGTTAAGGTTCCAACATAAAATCAATTGGTAATACGTGGAGTAGCCTAACATGTATTTAAACCATACCAAATGATACGAGGTAGGCGATGTGGGACTTCCAACATGCCCCCTCCAATGAAGTCTGCCGAACCAGGCAAAGGGTACTTTTGACCCAACTAAATGACAACTTTTGGTCCATGACAATAATAACCGGAAAGATGTTAGGTTTTGGCTTTGATACCATGTTAAGGTTCCAACATAAAACCAATTAGCAATATGTGGAGTAGCTTAACATGTATTTAAACTATATCAAATGACATGAAATAGGCAATGTGAGACTTCCAACAGTCACATTATTTAAACTTACCCTATTAGAGGTTGAGCCTTGTGCAGGTGGATCTTATATAGACAGGTTCTTTATGCTGGGAGCCTTTCGACCTGGGCTGCCCTTCTTTGGTAGTGTTTGGCCTAGCTTGTATTGTATGGGTTTCTCTTTATCTTTAAAAGGAGAATCTGGGTCAAAAACAAAGTTAGAAAAACTTGTAAAAGTAGAACCTCTACTTTTGTGCAGCTTCTACTTTTAATGCTGGACCAAACATTACCTTCCTCTCTTGGGGGATGCTCTCTTTGCTTTAGTATGGTGCATCTGACTTGAATGTAATGCAATAATTTTAGTTGCAGATGCTTAGTTCCTCTTTTATGGAACAGACTTTGCTCTAGTAGATTGGAGGTGTACGGACTTAAATAGGTCATATGGGAGGGCGATAGTGGAGGTTGAACCTTCATTATCATTACATCCAAGCATGCCAGTGCTAATTGAGCTAAAATCTTATTAGAAAGGGTATTCTTACCTAATAAGAAACGGTGCTAGATGAGTTCTTTTATTAATTTTTCCAAATTTGTCCTTTCCTTCTCGGCCACTGTTTTAAGAAGATTTTTTACCCTATGTGCCATGTATATCTCTACATTCTTTATAGATATTGTGTATAATCTAAAATGCAATAAATAAATAAATAAAATAAAATGCATTGAATCGGAATTTGCTTGATGAGTTAATCGTAGCTTTAATTCTAACTTCACAGTTGATTAATTGATTTATTGTTATGATTGGAGGAGATTTGACTGCTATATCGGGTTCCTTCTTCAAGCTAAATAACTAGCTAAAATAATGCATTATTGTGATATGTACCTGTGTTGAGTACATGAATGATCCTTCTTTTCCAATTTCCAAACTTTATAGTTATTTGTTATTTTATTTGTTTAATGTTTTGTGTGTGTGTTGGTTGATATGAAAGTTGTTTGAAATACTGCAATAACCCAGGATCAATTTACTGTAGGGCTGTACGGGCTATGAATGAAACACTGAAGCAAAATCGTCTATTGAGAGAACGAGGGGATGATAACTCGATCCCCCATTCTCAGAACAATATTAGTAGTGATGCAAATCTTCAGAAAAATGTATGTCTGCATTATTTTTGTAACAATGGAATATGCTATTATTTAAACCTTCGATTCTGTCTCTCTGCCTGAGCATCTTCAGTATTTCATCAAACAACTCTTTACATCTTGCTTCTAAACCTATATCTTTATTCAATTGTTTTCATAGTCATGATAAACATGACCATCAATTTGTTGAGTGATTCCATATCTCTTCTGATTTGGTTTCTCGTAAATCATGTTATGTTTATTCAAATTACTTTAGTGATGTCTTAGCTGAAAAAATATCTTAAGAAATTATCTTCTCTGTGCTAATATTTCTTGAATTGGTTCTGCCTTATCTTCTTCTTTGTTTCTTCTAATATTTGTGTGTCAATTTTGATATCTCGATTCTGGTTCATTGCCAAAAATATTTTACTTGCAAGGCTATCTATTACTTTTTGGGTGATTACTATTAGACAAAAAGTTGAAATGTTAGGCAAGATTATGTGAAGTATCCCAAACATGGGGGAGCGTTGACGTAAAACAGATTATGTAATGTGTAAGACATGAAATTTTACCTGACATTGATGCTATGTTAAAATCAATAAGGTCTTGATGTTGGAAGAAAAGGGTTAAGCATGATCTCTAGGATGAGGCTAAGGGGTCAAAGCCGTGCCTGTATGGGTTGTTTGAGCAGTACCTGCCACTGCCAGATAGATTGGGTCTGAATTCTGATGGGTTCCAAGGAAAAATTGAATGATGTATTTGTCGACCTTGTTATTATAGGTATCTACCTAGAAAATTAAGATCAGGTAGTAATAGAAGAGAAAAAAATATCAGTAAAACAGTAAGATTTTAGATCCTAGAGTTTGATTACATCACACAATCACGAAGCTAGTTATGATGTCATAATTCTCAAAGCACTTTTTTTATGAAAAAGTGCATTTCAAATTTACAACTATTTAAATGGACCTGTAATTTATTCCACCTGACTTATAATAGTGTGTTTTCTATAAGAACTGAAACTCTACTACCATAAAATCTGTAAAAGTAAGAGATGAAAACAAAACTCAATACACCTAAATAACAAAATAAAATCCATATGCAACACTTGACCGGGAAATAGAATCACCACAAAACTAAACTATGACTGAAATCATGAAGTGAAATTTGATGTCAAACATATGCTTTCTTTGTGCTAGGGTGTTCTGCAGGTTTGGATATGGGTTCCAACACAGCATGTTAAAAATTTATGGTTGTATGGATGTTAGTCTATCTTGACTTATGTATATAATGTTTTGTTCCTGTTTTATTTTCAGCATTTGTGCCTTGGCCCAAAAATTAATTGGATTAACTTTTGTTTCAAAACATGAAGCTTGTCTTTTTGCCCATTTTGTAGAAGAGGGAGAGAGGGGTTTGCGTATTTTGTTAAATTTAAGATATTCCATGCTTTATATGTGATTCTTATTCTTCTGACAGGTGTCAAATTTCCAACTTGATGGTCATGATGCCCTATATTCTCATCTGCATGACCAATTAAATTCACAAAAAGCAATGTCATTACCATCTTCACCACATGATTATAGAGGTCAGGCTTCGGAGAGAAGTGGACCGTCGAGATACGGAGTGAATGATGAAATGGAGTCAACTTGGAATAAAGTACTGGAATCTCCAATGTTCAATAATAAACCTCTATTACCGTATGAAAAATGGAATATTGACTTCTCTGAATTGACTGTTGGAACTCGAGTAGGGATTGGTAAGTATCACTTCTCAGTTAAACTGACATGATTTACTATATGCCCTCACAATGATTGAATTCATTCACATGGGTAAGTCAACTCTTGATTTAATTGCAAAGTTGGTTTGAGTCAATCTGTCAGGCTAAATCACAGACCAACTTTTTATGGGCTGGATTTCTACATTTCTGGGTTGGGTTGTGACAGATTTAATTCGATCTGTCTGTATGTTTCTGTGTTGAATTTGTGAAAATATCCGATCCAGATCTATTACAGCCATTGGTAAAACAGTTGGTGCCTGAGAGCCTTAAAATAATCTTCCGTACTAAATATTCTTCTCCCGCATGAAATCAATGGATGATTTTTTCTTTTCTTCGTTTACTAAATCAGTATAATCAATTTAAAGGATTGGGTTTCTCTTAGAAATGGGATTCTTGGAAATAGGATTCGTGGGAAATTTTATAAAATATGTACGGTTATTATTAAATTTTCCTAGGAATAATATGTATACAGTCAATTACCATGGAAAAGTTTAGTAACCTTAATGTCATTAGCACACAAAGTTTTATTTACACTTGTGAAGGTGGGAAATTTATTCTTATTCCAAATTAACATTCTACAGACTCTTTTGTACAAAAGATATTTTATGCTATCTACGATGTATGGGAAATTTTTATTCCCATGTCTCTTTCTTAGGAATGTTTTTAACGTTGCTGAAACCAAATGTCACCTTAAAGGTAAGCTGATTTAAACAAATTTCTCTTCTTAAGCTGATTTTGTTTTGGCTTCTGCTATTTCTAGGTAATGCAACTTTGGTGTTTGTTTTCCATTTATTTAATATGTTCGGTGTGCTTTTTCTAGATAATGTCTAGAAGCACTTGAATCTCATTTTTTGTGTTGATTTTCCCCTTGTTTCTTTGCTGTCTGGCATGTTTACAAAAGTATTGTAACAAGAAGAGGTTTGGTTAAGAATGATAGTTGAGACATCTGATTAATTTTGAGTGGAAGATTGGTATTTAATTTCAGAAAAATAAAATTGTCTTTTTGACATGTTTATGGTTACTGGTAAATTACTATTTTGAGGGACTTCTTGACGGATTATCATGTGAAGAAGTAGTTGGTTGACCACTGATGTATTGTAATTTTTCAGGTTTCTTTGGAGAAGTTTTCCGTGGCATATGGAATGGCACAGATGTTGCAATCAAGGTTTTTCTAGAGCAAGATTTAACTGCTGAAAATATGGAAGATTTTTGCAATGAGATATCTATTCTGAGGTACATTGCCATATTTATGCTGTTTTTAAGTATTTTTCTGTCCTAACATTTTCTGACTGTCTTTTCTCTCTGAATTGGTATTGGTTTTCCTTCAGCCGACTCCGACATCCTAATGGTATTCTCCAACATCCTTACTACTTATTTACTGTTGTATAGTTGTGACTTACTGTGGTATAGTTGTGACTTTTACATTGTCCTTGAACCTTTTGTTTTCTAGATATAGTAATCGATGGAAGTGAATCTGAATTGTTTTCTTTTATTGTTTCAAACAGATGTAATTATTTTAATAAAATTTCTTTACTCAAAAAGAATGACAATAATATTGTGCATACTTGGTTATAAGAAATCTCATGTAGCTTTTTTTCCTTTGAAATCAGCTGTTATTTATTTAGTGATGAAATTATATGCAGTTATCTTGTTTCTCGGTGCATGCACAAAGCCTCCACGCTTGTCAATGGTTACAGAATATATGGAATTGGGATCGTTGTATTACTTGATACATTTGAGCGGTCAAAAGAAAAAGCTTAATTGGCGGAGAAGAATAAGGATGATACGTGACATATGCAAGTAAGTTTAGGTCATTCTGTTCATATGCTGTTATAAACAGGTCTTGCACATTAATTACATTGGTGTCTTTCAATAAATCATAAAATTTCCCTGCCAGTTTTCTGTCATTTGAGAAATAACTGTCATTTTCTTTTTGTTTATCGTGTAAAATAATTTAATTTTGTAGATTTTGGTCACTATTTAATTATAAACGATTATGATATTTTATTTTACTATTTAATACCTTTAACAAAATACTTTTCTTGTCACCTGTTTGATAATGATTTAACAAATGAATTATGAATACTTGGTACCTTGGTTGAATATCCGGTTCAGTTTTTAAGTTTCATGAACATTGGTATTGCGTACCCCATTTCTGGAACGATTACATTTGGTCTATCGATATTGACAAGAGTAACTTGTGTGTAGGGGTTTGATGTGCATACATCGAATGAAGATTGTTCACCGTGATCTGAAAAGCGCAAATTGCCTGGTGAATAAGCATTGGACTGTGAAAATATGTGATTTTGGGCTTTCAAGAATAATGACAGAATATCCAATGAGAGATTCTTCCTCGGCTGGAACTCCAGAATGGATGGCACCTGAGCTCATTCGAAACGAACCATTCACAGAAAAATGTGATATCTTTAGCCTTGGGGTGATAATGTGGGAACTCTGCACCTTGAGCAGACCATGGGATGGAGTACCAGCTGAGAGGGTAGAACATTCAACACGTCTGTACATGTTGCGTGATAGTTTCTATATCAGTCACGTGCTTCATTCTAAAATTTCCTTTTTTTTCTCTGCTCACCAGGTGGTTTATTCCGTTGCACATGAGGCTTCCAGATTGGAAATACCAGAAGGCCCTCTAGGAAGGCTGATTTCAGGTCAGCAACTTTCCTTTGTTACATACATGTTGAAGGCAAACTCAGAATCGTCTGCTTTAACTATATATTACGTTTTTTATGTCTGCAGATTGTTGGGCAGAATCTCACGAGAGGCCAAGTTGTCAGGAAATTCTTTCCCGTTTGGTGGACATCGAGTACTCCTTGTGCTGAAGCAATATCTTTGTACATAGAAAACTTTGGGTAGAGTTTTTACATTGTATTATCGGCTCATGTTGTGGACTATGTGTGAATTTTGTTCGTTTTTCGCAGAACATGCGAAATATGAATCCATATTTGCTGCAACTCTTCTCCTTCTGGGGGCAATGAGAAAGATGAGATTGATCCGTCTCTCGTAGTTTCTGTGCAATGAAATCGTAACCAATAGTGTCTAGTGAGAATCGTTATTGCATTTTTACGAATAAAAAGGAAGGTGGATTGGTGTTTGTTGGTAGTGTGTTCCACACGATGAACATTTCTTTCTTACCTCCTTAAGTAGGGTTATCTACTATGATTAATTCTACTTTAGATCAAAATAACATGAAATAAAAATTAACTAGTTTGTTTCAATTAATTTTTTATCACACGAAATAAAAATAAAATAAATTGTTTGGAGAGTTTTCTTGATAATAATTTCAATAAAAGATAATTTTAAAGAAAAAATTGAAATGATTTTTTCATTAATTAAAATATAAGTGTATTTATAAATTAATTTGTAAAAAAAAGTAAACGATTTTTTTAGATAATTTCTTTTCAATGCATAAATTAATTTTAACTTGTAAAAAAAGTTATTCATCTTATTTTTCTTCTTTATTTTTTTATGGAGAAATTTGTGAAAACATTAACATCAAGTTGGTTTGATCTAAAATAAAATAAAAGAAAAACATTATATTTTTAATTGTCTTTTTTTAATAGCTTTAATTTTAAATTAATACAAGGTAATTCAAATCTTATTCTTTAAAGTTAATTATTTAATATTCATATTTTTATAGTTATAAATATTTATATTTTTAATTCAAAGTATATAAAAATAATTAAATAATAAATATGATTAAATTAAGACACTTGGTAATATTAAATAAGTATGAAAAAAGAGAGCAAAATTTAATGACTAAAATTGGGTTGCAAAAGATAAATAAATAATAAAAAAAAACAGCTTGTGATAATTGGTCTGGATTTGAATTGAAAGTAAAAACTAATTAACCAAAACAAATTAATTAATTTGATTCTAAGCTATTGTGTTGAAGTTTGTTGAGCGTATCAATTTAGTTATTCCAAATTAATTTTGCAAATGTATTGGACAAGTTCTAAAATATCAATGTTTGAGTATTTTAAAATCATTTTTCAAAATTTAGTACTTAATATCTGTTAGATAAGCGCCTCTATAATATATTTTTATAAGAGAAAAACTAAATTTTTTTCTATTAATGTAATTTATATTTCAACTAACTATTTTAAAACATGATTTTTAATTCATACACAAATTAATGTTAACTTATAAAGAAATTATTTTATTTTTTCATTTTTTTCTCTTTTAAGTATTTATGAAAAGTTTTACCCAAATAAACTTTAAATATATTTCGATAGAGGAATTATTAAGTTAATCAAGAATTAACTTTAAAATCATTTCTCATTTTTACTGTTTTTTTTTCTAAATCCAATTGTTGTAATTTGTCACTAATATTAATTGCATAATTAAAATTTAATCATACACATTAAAAATAACTGTTTTAAATTATTTTCAGAGTAAATAGGTTTCTCTTTCTTTCAATCACTAAATTATAGAACATTAACAAATTACAAACTCTATTACAAAAATTAGTATTTTGTAGTGAAAAATAAAATACATGATAAAATATGTCGAGCCGTTAAGTAAGTGATATATTCTATCGATTAACTCATCTTACCATGTACTGTCAACCTATTTATATATTTTTTTTATTTTAATATCAAATGTGTAAATATTAAAATTGATTTATAAAGTATAAAAAATTATAATTTAAAGAATTATAATACTTGGATGTAAATATGATAATTTAAATCATCAATACTTATAAATTAAGTTTTAATTATTAATTATAATTAACTAATTGAGTATTTAAAATTAACAGTCTTTTCAATTAATCTAATTAGAGATATTAATTAATCAGTTAAAATTTTACTATATGTATATATGTTAAATAAAACAAAATTAAATTTGGTGGAGTCAACCCTTTGACCGTTTTTTTATGGGGTGATCATAACTTTCAACCCATGTTCATTATGTCTACCCAATCCAACTATCCTACAGAGTGGAGGAAATAGATAGAGCTAAAAAAAAAAAAAATCATAAACTACTTACAATTTAGTGCATTAATAACACATTTACAAGTAAAAAAAATGAGTGAAAAACACAATCAAGCTTTGTTATTTGCACCCATTCTTTTCATTTTCTCTTCTCCCACCTCCTTTGTGTCTTTTTAGTTTTATTATTTTTGCATATTTTTATTGTGCATTCTTACAAAATGAAAACTACTTGTTTTTTATGCATAAAAAATATAACAAAACGTATTTCTATTGTGATATTGCAAATTTTAACTCAAAGGAAATATATTCCTGTTATTTTTTACAAAAATTTAATGCAATAGAAACTTATTTAATACGAATGTATTTTATAACAAGTATAATAAAGGTGAGAAGTTTGAAAAGAAATAAGAGTGGAAATGATTAGCCCTTTAATTAACCGAACCAATTTGGACCATTTCAGGCCCAAATATGAACCCGAGCCCATGAGATTTCGAAAACGATCTGGGCCCACAAACATTCCCTAACCTACAAAACAAAATAATAATAATAATAAATAAATAAAAACATAAAAAAACAGTGCTTCCCACACGTTAATCGCCAAACGTCGTAGCACATAGACAAAGGTTCCTCAGACGAACCGAACTCACCGTAACACCAAACACCACCGTTAATCCAAGACCACCACGCCCCAGCCACCGCCACGAGCATCATGGACTCCATCGCTGGAGCTCCGCCTCACGCAGCCACCCCTCCACTGTCTCGACCGACACCGTTCCCCGGCCGGGAAGACTGCTGGTCGGAGGAAGCCACGTTCACGCTCATCGAGGCATGGGGCGACCGCCACCTCGAACTCAACCGCGGTAACCTACGCCAGAGGCACTGGCAGGAGGTCGCCGACGCCGTCAACGCTCGCCACGGTCACGCCGGCGCCAGGGCCCGCCGCACCGACGTGCAGTGCAAAAACCGCATCGACACGCTAAAGAAGAAGTACAAGATCGAGAAGGCTAGGGTTTCCGACTCCGGTGATTCCGCCACCGCATGGCCTTTCTTCCTCCGCCTCGATTACCTTATCGGCGACAATTTCCCGGCGAAGAGGCCCTCCCCGCCGGAGGCCACCTCCGCCGATCGACGGAGCACTCCTCCGGCGAAGTCCCCAGCGTGGGCCCTCATTCCGGTCGGTCCTCGATCCCGCTCGCTGAAGCGGCCGGCGCCGGTAGCGCCGGCAGCAGAGAGTGTCGCAGACTCGTACTTCCGGCGGAATTTCTCGGTTTTTGCGGCGGCCGCCGCGGCCGCCGCCGAGGCCGATAGCGATAATTCGAACGGTTCTAAATGGAGCAGCGGGAGTGAGAAGAGAGAGAAGAAGAAAAGAGGAAGGGATTGGGAATTTGGTTACCGAGAGGTTGCAGAAGCATTGGAGAGGTTTGGGGAGATTTATGAGAGAGTTGAAGAGGCGAAACAGAGGCAAATGGTGGAGTTGGAGAAACAGAGAATGCAGTTTGCTAAGGATTTGGAAACCCAGAGAATGAAACTCTTCATGGAAACTCAGCTTCACTTGCAAAAAATGAATCGCTCCAACTCCAAACGTTCCTCTGCAACTGGTTAGTTGGTTTCCCTCTTTTCTTTCGTCTCAATTAGTACATAACAGACAAAACTCACAATTAACAAAAAGAAAAAATATGAGGCACTGTTTGATTGGTTTACCTTCTTAATTCTTTCTTTTATGAATACTACTAGCTTTATTAAATGTTATTGTGCATTGTTTAGTTATTGTGTCGTTGTTGTTTATGTGTTATTGTGATTGATTGTAATTAATTTGTTTTGAGTTGAAGGTAACAGTATGTTCAAGTTGTTGTTGTTTATTAGCCGGATATTAGTTATGAATCATATGATTAATGGTTCTCATAACAGGTGTCTGGTATAGCATGATACACTCTTCTTTTGAAACTTACATGATAAATGTTTTCTGTAAGATGTTTTTTTGTTCATTTTCGGTGCTATTTGGCATCTGATTTTAAGTGGAGGAATTGTCGCAATGACTATATTTTAGTTGCATGCCTCATGACTACTAAGACTTGAGCACAAATATGTGTATCGAAAGCGCACTCCCTGGCTTATGTACTTTTTCTTTCACCTATCCAAATGTGTTTTTGCCATTAAACATCACATCTATTGATCACATTTTTTAAATAAAAGGCAAAACTTTTGCTCTAATCTATCATCAGTACAGAGGTCAAAACATAACTCTGTCTCTTGCATAAGATCTTCTGCCTCAGAACTTGAGTTATTTTCGTTTACTTTTTCTGTTTTTCTTATTTTATTTGTTTCTCATGGGCACTAGTATTTTCCCATGATAGAAGAAATCAGTAATGGATACAGTTTAGCACTTAAGATTATGATTGATTGACACATACCAACTGCTGTGTGCAGCTCTTAAATGATTTAAAATACAACAGAAAAAAACATAACTTAGCATTCTTATTGTAAATTTAAGGCTAGTCATTCATTTATGAGAGTTTGCATTGTCATAAATTTAACCTGAAAACTAGCCAATGTTGTTGTTTATTCAATACTTTTTTATGCTTATTATCATATAATGATATGGGGCAATGATGAAACATTATGATTGTTGTTAAGAATGTGTTACCATTTGTTTCTGCGAATATCTCTATCTAAGGTTCTAACGCAAGATTTGAGTGCCTCTGCATATTGATGTTATGATTGCTTATTGTCAATACAGTGATGGGCATGTAATGACTGTAAATAATTAGAAATCTTGCAGTCTCAGAAAATTTTGACTGATAACCGATACATTTAAGAAAATTTATCAAGGATTTAAAATAGAAAATATTAAATGTAAAGTAAATTTTGTTGTTTTTTTATACATTAAACTAATTATTACAATCATGAAAAAATAATTAATATACCCGTGCTTTACATGGGTTTTATATATATATGAAACTTGAAAATTATGCTACATTTTCTGAAAACGAATATGAAATAAAATGAAATGTAGGAATATTAATTTCTGTTGTTTGAAATAAAATAAAATTTAATAAAATGTACTTTCTTTTTTACTCATCCAACACCTCTAATTGTCTTTTACTAATTCGGGATGTATGATCTGGCGTAGAACGACAACCCTATTCTATATTTAAATAGTGCCATCTTACTTTTAGGAAAACTTTGATTTGAATGTTATTTTAAATTTCTACAATTTTTTTATTTATTTGTTTACAATGATGGTCTTTTAATAACAGTATACCATATTCTAGTATTTTATATTTATGATAATTTTAATAATATTGCTTACTTTATATTTCAAAGTTGTAACATTATTTTAATAGACTATTTTGATGATAATATATTAATATTTCTATGATATTTAAATCATTTAATATTTTCTATGAAAATATTTTGATCTTTCAATAATATTCATTTAATTATAATATCTTATTTTAGAATTATTTTAACAGACCTATATTATTATAACAGTCAGAGGCAATTTTTTTCTAAGGAATAATGAGAGCATTATTATATTATTTGAAGTTATCAATTATATTATATTTTTAATAAGAAAAAAGTACTTTTGGCTAAACACACGCACTGATTAGCTTTTATCATATTTCTTGTGTTTTCTTTTGGTAGAGACCATATTTGATATTTCTATTACATGGTTAAATCCTCCTCATCTCAGTCTTAGCATATCTTTAGCTGTCGTGGATGTGACATTGATTAATTGTGTATTTTTTGTCTTTCCCATGTTCATGGTACTCGAATGAATCTAATGGTTATATTTCTCTGTCCCCTAACAGACACTGTCTCATAGCAACCGGTGATGGAGACTCTGATCCAGAAGAACATAAACATATTACCATTGGACATGGAAGCATCTTTAGCCTTTTTTTTTTTTTTTATGAAAAAGGAATTTAGGAAAGGTATTTTTACAGTAAGCTTTTAAATTTGGTCATGTTCTAGAATTTCAATAGTCCACTATCTTTATGTGCAGTAAATTTACTTTATCTGTCACCTTTCAGCAATGCAAGAAAAAAAAGAATGAACAAAAGAGACTGTGTATATTCAATTGGAACTTTAGTTTATGTGTGTTTTTCTCAAAACTTGTTATATTCGTGTTTTTTGTTTATAGGTAGTTTTTATTCAATGTTGTACTCTTCATCTTATTTCTTAATTTGTTAGTGGTGGGTTTTACTAAACATTAGATTTCATAATTTCAGCAACATTTTACTTAAACATTAGATTTCTTTGTTTTTGAAAAAGCAATGTTGTTTCCATTGTATGTGAAGCCCATAACTTCCTGCACCTCAACGATGGATATGCTGCTGTTAAATAAAGCCCATAACTATGACAAAGCCCAAAACTAAGACAATTGTTTGCTTGATTCTTAAAAGTGTACAATGGTTCAAAAAAGTATCATAGTATTTTATTTATTTTATTAGTATTCCTCCAATTGAAATTTTAAAATTAATTTTTCCTAAGTATCTCCCTTGTACAATTTTTCTTTTACTAAACGTTTATTTGTCACTTAAACCTTGTGCAATTTATATATATATATATATTTTTTTTTCAATAAGCCCTTGTGCAATTTTCGGTTTTAATAATGATTCCCTAATAATTTGATTTCACAACTGTCGTCGGGCATAAAATTCTTATACCATTTAAATTATTCTCCAAAAAATTTTAAATGTATTTTGTAAAAGTTAACAATAATAAAATATAGATATAGCTTAAATATTCTTACATTTATATGTTACACTAACTTTGAAGTACAATAATTTAAAAGTATATATTTCACTGGATTACAATTATTATTAAGTACATCAACTTTACAATTTTTTTTATTGTAACAGTTATTGATACTTTATCAATTTATACAATATATTTTTCAAAAACATAAATAATGTCAGTTAAATTATTGCAATGTGAAACAAAAGATTGGAATATATGGACTTTTAGAAGTTATTACTTGAAGAGGATAACTAAACTTGGAGATGGTCATTTTTAGAAGTTAATTATTATGCTTAAAACCTTTTCTTTTTTCTTAAAAGTTAAAAGTTAAGTATTATGCTTAAAACATGTTTAAAAACAAGTTATTGCTGTTGTTAAAGCATTTTCAAACAATGGGGCTGAGTCAATTGTACAACTTTATTTTTATTTTTAAGTGCATTTGTCCCAAGAATTGCAATCATTAGTGCAACTTGCATGTCTCACCACCTTTTCCCTTATGAAAAATATTGAAGGATATATGTCAAAAACATAACTAATTACTATTTCAAACTCATTTCAAGTTGACAACATAATAATTATTAATTGGAAAACTAAATTAAATGGGAAAAATTACCACACAAATTCAACATCCAAGTAACTTTTGTTCAACATGTCTACCGTGATTTAAAAAAAAAAAACTTATAAAAAAAGTGTCTCCCTAAGACTACAAATTAAGATGTAACGCTCGTTCTATATATTTAGCAAATTGAAGGTACCCGGAAAAAAAAACATAAATAGAATAACAATAAAAAGGATACATGCATATTTAAAACATTTGATTTTCTAATTTTTAATACTATAACTAAAAGATAAATAAATTTATTGTATTAAAAAATATTAACGAACTACATGATTCAATCACCTACTTAAATTAAACTAAGCTTAATCCGATTACTAGTATGAAAATTTTGAAAATTAGATTAAAGTTGGAAAAAAATTATAATTAAATTAAATCATATCTATCTTAACAGAATCTATTTTAATCATGGTATAAAAGTTAGATTAGTTTATAAAACTTATCGTTTTATAAAATAATAATTATTTTTAAAATAAAAATGATATTATTTATTAAAAAATATTTTAGTTTAATAAAATATTTCATTATTCTAAGAGTAAATATCATAATAATTTTTTAATAAAACAATCACATTAAATAATTTAAATTAATTACTATTTTAAATAAATAAATTATAAAAAAATAAATAATGATAACAAACAATATGTTTTTAATTTTTATTTTGAAATTCAATAGATCAATTGTAATTAATATATTAAATCATTAAATAGATCCTAATTTTATTAATATAATTTAAATTTTAAAAAATATATTTTTATTTTTATTTAAATATTTTTTAAAATTTTTAATCAAGAGAAATTTAACATGTTAACCTAATACATTATCAAACTGGTGTATTTAAAATATAAGCTTAAATCATTAATTAATTTTTTTATTTAGTATGTAGAATCAGATAAAACTGGATTGGGAGGTCCATTTTCACTGTCCTACTTAAACTTATGTATTATGTAACATATTTTTTCTACATAATATTTTAATAAAAATTTCAAATATTAAGTAAACAACTCATTAAAAAAAATGGAAGAACCTAAACAGAAGTTTGATTTTCAAATTTGAATCAATAATATGTGTAAGTAAAACTTCGTTTCCATTTTTCCTACTGAGCCTAACCACATTAATGAAGTACTTAAAGAACACTTAATTATGTATCCTCCTTTTTCTTTATGTGAACATATATTTTTATATACAAACAAAATTATTAAGCAACCGAGCACAAATGTCTTACAATGCAATTTCAGGACCTCAAAATGAAAAATGTTACATACACCAACCAGAAGAAAAAATTGTATTAAGGAAAATATTAGCATAAACTTCAGAACTTGATATACTCTAATTGTATTATTATAAGTAAATAGCTATCTAGGCACAAAGATTCTGAAAATTTTCTGTCTTCTTATCTCCACCATATAACTCTCTGATCAATCACAAAACACACCTAGACTGTTTCTAACATGAACAACCTCAATAACATAATTAAAATGAGTTTGAGAAATACTTTGTTTCTGACATAAAAAAAAATATATGCTAACCTCATTTGGAACCCAATTTATTAAAATACCTTACATTTCAATGGGAACCAAAATTCCAAAAATACATGACAAACTAATATATATATATATATATATATATATATATATATATATATATATATATATATATATATATATATATATGTATATATGCAACTGAAACTTGAATGCAAGATAAACCAAAGCATAACCTTCATATAATTAATGAGTATTTTGTTCATTCAGCTAGGATCTTACAAATTCCGCAGGAAACAAAAGAACAATGCCAACAAATTATCGATCGAAATATAGAAACCGAACCTCCAATACTGTGCCTTATAAAAAGGATATCCAACTTGACTGTATGCTACATTTCCCTGCAAGGATATACAACCATGGCTTAATATATATGCAGAATTTCTTCTTTGACCATTCAAGGTGAATCACTATTCCTGACCTTGTGCTCACAATGTATAAAAGCAGAAAAAAATAGTGACACTGTTACTCCATCTGTCATGAGAAGAATAATCAGAAGTGTCGAAAGGATATTCTTTCGATTAGAACAATTAATGATGTTTCGTGCATTGTGTTATTACTTAATTAACCAAACTAAAACATAGTGAAAGAATAAAGAAAAGGGTATCTTAATGCTGCCGCAGATGCTTATGGGCCATAATAGAGATATTCCTTTATCCATCGATAACCCTTAACTGCTTTTGTTTGTTCTCACGCACATAATTTCTGTACTTAAAGATTTCAAAAGAGATATGCATACCCTACACGGGCCAGTAATATATAACCTAGTAATTCATCAAATAATTCACACATGATTCATTACCACCAAGCAACAACCATCTGTTTCCTGAGGTTTTCAAGCTTGCATCTCACATATTGGATACTCTCTCTGTGTACTCTTTTAAGAATAAAATATAATCAAAAGTTATGAAAAAAAAATTAAACATTTTTATTAGTTAAATTTACTTATATATCTTAACCTTTTCAAGTGTTTTCTCATCTAAGTTAAGATACATAAGATTGTATGTGTTTAACTTATATGAAAAGTTTGATTTATTTTATTCAACTTCTAATTCACCTTGTTTTCTTTTATTGAATATCTATTAAAAAATAAATATTTTTTAGAAATCAAAATGAGAAAACTTTATTGAATGTTATTGAGACAAAGTGCAACTAGTAGCAACTTGGTAGGGAATGCTTGATAAAGAAGACTTATATATCTAAATTCTAAAATAACTTATGGATGGGGAAGAGAAGAAGAATGAAGGTAGGGAAAGATATAGTAGTAGAGGTTGTCAAAGTATGGTTCTTTAGTTATGTTTGATGAAGAAATTTGTGATTACTCTAACATAAAAAGGTCTCAGATTCCCAACAAAAAAGCTGCCGACAAATAGTTTTCACATACTTGGATCATAATACGTACAAGGAAAACCCTAACTTGCCACCAGCTGCCACACACTGACAGAGACTGTGCAGACAAATAGCCGTACAAACTGAATATTCCCTTGATCTTTGCTCTAAGCTACACATGATTTCTGTATGAGTGCTGTATTACAGGAAGCATTATATATGCTTAAAGAAGCCCTAACCAAAGTTTTACGTAGTTCAATAATCAAGATATGTATAATTTAAATGCTTGAAGAGTTCATGTGTGCAGGAAGTTTTGACGATCGAGTGCACGTGTGAGTGGAATAATCACTTGAAACCAAGAGCTTGTCTTCAACATGTAATATATATATATATATATATATATATATATATATATATATATATATATATATATATATATATATATATATATATATATATATAATCTAGCTACTGGTGTAGGAAAAAAGAAAAAGAAAGCTTCCCATTAATGCTATGAAGTTCCATTTAAATTAATAAACAACCGACAAGAACATGTGAGGTGATGGGAGGAAGCACAAAGCTCAACCATGCCTAACCAAACAATAATGAGCTTATTAAAATTATATATGATGACTAATAACATTTTGATGAAGGAATATATAGGTACTGTTCTACAGAATCAGATGCTAGACAACATGATCTAATCAGGGTACGTTATCGACAGAAGTTACATGTCTCCGTTTTCTATTCTCTAACTTGTCTCTCTCCAATAGAAAATTGATGTATGATTGAAAAATAATATTCTTTATCCTACTAATTTGTTATGTTTTTCTTTACTAAAGTGTTAAATTTATATTAAGGGACAGGAAAAGAGACATTCAAAGAAGACAGAATATTTGAATCCGTACTTGACATGGTAATAAAACAAAGTGGGGAAAGAAGACATGTAGATCCAGTCACCCTTTGCATGGAAAAATCTTCTATATCAAAGATAGCAATAAGTGGGGTATATGGAGGTGAGGATGGTGGGAAATGCTTAAGGATAACATAACATTAAATAAACAATTAGCATCACATTTCTTCAACATTTACTCATAGAGATTCCACACAATCATGACTTTGTTAGTATTGAATTGTGAATTAGAAAAGTTACAAAAAAAAAAACATGCATGTTCTATAATTATATGCCATAAACGATTTCAATGTTGAGTACAACCTTATTTAACTATTGAATTTAAAAAAAAAAAAAAAAAAAAACTTTATTAGTCAAATACTATCAATCATTGATTTATTCTATGCTTAGAAACTAATAGAGAGACTATGCCATTTCACTTTGAACATTCATGGGACAGAAAATCTGCAGAATCTTAAAAGGGCAAAATTTAGGGGAAAGCTAACATGCAAATAACGAATAATTAATTAAAGTTGTTATACAGATCACAATTATTTCTCATGAATAATTCCATGTCAGTGGGTATTAGAGCGTGTAGGAGGGGTAGAGTAACACAATCTTTCCAATCTTATTTAATCACTATTATCAGCAACCATTTTCCAAACGAATTGACAACATTGTTAATACCATGGGCAAGTAATATCGTACCAAACCAATCTTTCATAAGCTAATTAACTGTAGTAGCTAAAGGTGAAAATCTTGGTTTATTCGAAGATTAACTACCTGGTTCTTTATTTGAAAGCAACTGAGTAAGCATTACGATTTTGCTGATCCACATTTCTTCCTTATTTCAAACATATTTTGTACGGCCTAGAATCCAAAATCTGAAGTCCTGGTTTTATAAACTAAATCTTATGCACCTAGATTGAAGTCCACAGTATAATTACTATAGTAGTAAGTTTTAGGTTATATAATTATATATATGACATAAGCAACAGAACTTATTAACTGTATATAATATAGCACCACATTGAGTTAATCATTCTAGTAAGCACAGTGAAGGAACGATGATGAGATTAATTAATGAATTACCATCACTTGAAAGGGATGATGATGATGATGATGATATTCAAGAGAAATGGATGGTGGAGGTTGATTCATCATTTGGCTTGGTTTGATTTGTGCCCTTCTTTTTCTTCTTGTAAGGGATACCTCTTGCCTTAGCTTGGCAGTCCCTAACCTCTTTGAGATAGACACGGATGGAGCCACTTGCAAAAGGATTAGTCTCTGGGGAGCCACCATTTTCTTCATAAGCAGCCCTGAGCCTCCCTATGAGAGCATCAAGGCTTCCCCAAGCCTGTCTAAGGGGGCATGTGCAGGGTGCTGGAGGTTCTGGCTGCCCATAGAACATGCAACCTTGAAGGTGAACCTTGGTCTTCCCAAACTGGTCCAGATACCGAAGGAAATCCAACACATGGTTGCAATTGCACTGAGACAGTGGAACTGGGGGTCTCTGATTCTTCAAGTACTGCCCAAAAGTGTTCCAATCCCTTCTCTTTTGAGACTCATAGCGGCTAAGTGTCCCTGGACTCTGCTGGCAATCTGTTGGAGAACTTGATCCTTCTACCAAATCCTTGCCACTTGAAGACATTCTGGTGCTGAATGATGAAGATCGAGAGCCTTGTTTGGCTTTTGTAAATCAATTAAAGGGAAGGGAAAAGGGGAGGTGAAAGCTAGGTGAAATGAATAGGGAGAGCAAGATGGGGATCGTGTCATTGGGCTAATGAGTAGACATTTTATGGGCCATATCAGTTCCTTTCTACTCTTCTTTTTCTTCTTCTCCCTTTCATATTTATACTCCTTTTTTTGATAGCAACGTTACCATTTAACTACGTTTTCCCTGTAATCAAACAATTATTGTTTGCCATTTGTCAACACGCATGAACCTTATCGCCTTATTATCAAACTGATTTACCATTATTGCCCTAACCATATCAATCAATTAATAGGACTAGCTTCTAACCACCCACCTCTTTTTTCTTTATTTTTCTACATCTTCCATGCCAACTGAACTATACAACTTAGCAGCAGCTTAATACACAAAAAGGGTTTAATCTTTTATCAGAAAGGGAGGGGTTTTGGGGCAAGTTTTCTTTAGTTTTTCTTTCCTTTTTTTACCAAAGCTATAATACGAGTTTTTATTTTCATTTTCGTTATGCAGGTAATGTTATTGTTAGCTGTATAGTTCAGGCTCTTATTAGATCCGTCCAATATCTAATAAATACGTTTTCAGAACCAAATCTAGTTATGCAATAATCATATTAAACAATAATATTTTTAATTTAATAATACAACTAAAGGGATATAATGATTCTTTCAAACATATACATGAGAATATGTGCCAGCCACATCTGAATTATATAACACACAACGTACGTGTTTAACTTCACTTGTATTTAAATAGGACATAAAAATTATACATACAGAGAGAGAGAGAGAGAGAGAGAGAGAGAGAGAGAGGGAGGGAGCATGATTTTTGTACAAATAGATTTGCAGTGTTGACGTTTGAGGCCAGTGTGATGGGTGTCATTGTCAAAATGAGTGCTGGAATAAGCATACAAACCCTAGAGTACCTACATTAATTATTGGGTGTGAAAGAAAATATTATATGAAAATAGTTACGTACTCAGACAAAACAAACACAGCAATGACAGAGATAGATGTGCTTAGAGCCATGAGATAGAGAAAGGAATCAGGGACATAGAAAAGTAAATAAGGGTGAAGAAGATTTATACGTGGAATTTGTGTTTTACACATTGTTTCTGCAAGTATCACTGTTTATTCCATACACTACCGCAAAAAATATACAAAAACTGTATTAACCAGGTAACCTTTTACAGAAACAGTTTTTATACAAGGTTTTTTGGGACAGTTCTCTGGCTAGTGCATCCCACAAGATATTTGTCCGTACATCTTTTAGCACGCAAGACCTTTTCAGTTTCCTTCTACTCTGTAATTGCCTCTGTTACCTTCTCTTTTTCTCTTTTTCCCCTTCAAAAATAGTTTCAACAGTATAAAAAATTAAGTCGTTAGTACAAAAGTTATTTTAAATAATTTTTTTTTTCTAGAAAGAAATTTTATATAAACACCCAATCATATTACATAAGTACAATACGAGACAGTTAAGGTGAGACTTTCAATATTCAACGAAATTCATAAAATCTGATAAAGAATATTTTGATTTACATCAAGTTTCTAACATGATAATATACAGAATAGTTAAACCGGTGTTTGAATCATGTCACATATAAGACAGACCTGAAAACTTTTGATAAAGATTTAGATTTTTTCTCAAAGCAAATAAAAGATTAGGTAAGGCATGTGAGAGAATTTTGGAAGTAATGTTGTAGTGTGGAATTTTTTAACACATATATATGAGCAGATTAATTCTTTGTTGGTATGATCTAAGAGAGAAGGAAGGTATGGCACACATCCATTGTATTTTGTATATTTTATTGGAAGAGTGGATATCAATTTGATGGAGACAACAACAAATAGCAATATTGTTAAATGAGGGGGGCCATGGACTCCTTGGCCAACAAAGTCAAATGCACTAAGATTACATTTGCAAAACATTGTTATCAATTATAATTCAAAACTAATATGCCTATGATGTTTCCTATGTACATATATATGTGTGTCAAAGGTTAACTCGTGTTTTAAATTATTTTATCAAATTGAAAACATGGTTTTTTGTTAATCACATTCCAAACTACTTTTGAAAAAAGAAGACTCTCTACATTAATAGGTTTGTAAAGACCATATTTGAAATATCGAATGACATTGTCAAATACAAGTTTGATAAAAGAAAAATTGTACTTAAATGCAGAGATAGACAAACTTGTTCATAAAACCACTATTTTCATCAAAATAAAAATTTAATTAAATTAATATAAAATAAAAAAAAGGTAAATTTGCAAAAATTTGAGGTCAATCAATTTTGGTAAAAAAAAACAAAAATATATAATATTTTTAATATAAGGGAAAATTTAAAAAAAATATAATATTTTTTAGTTTTTTTTTAATCTTATTTTCACTTTTATAATTTTTATTTTTTATTATATTTTTTATTTGTAAATTATATTATAATTTATGACAACTACAAAGTTTTTATTATTCTAATTAGTTTTTACATAAAAAAATTAATATTATTAATAAATTTATTATATACTTATTATATTATTAAAAAAATATTAATTTATTAAATTTTAATTAAATATTTAAATCTAAATAGTGTTTTCATCTATTTAGTAACCAGTTAAATTTAAAAAATATTTAATTAAACTATCCTAGATAAAAAAATATGAAAAATATATTTTAAGAATCAACTTTTATACACGTAATAAGTTTCTTATTATAATATATAATAAGAATATTAATTTTTATGTTGTATTTTTGTTTTTAAATTCTCAAATGATTATATATGAAAATAAACTATTAAAATATCATTACTTAATAAATATAAAATAGAAAAAGAGAAGAAATTCAAAAAAATTATACCAAATAATGATAAAATCAAAATATCAAAGTAAATATATATATATATATATATATATATATATATATATATATATAAAAGAAAAATATTTCATTTATATAAAAGAAAACTAACTTAAGCACAAGAAAGAGATGCAAAAACAAGGTATATACAAAGCCTAGTCATCAGAAAAGAAGTTGTAAAAGGCAAAAGTACCTAGTGTTGAAACACTACTAACAAGGTTGCAATTTCCATGAATTAAACCACAAGATGGAACCAAAGTAACCTATACACAGTTGAAAAGTACACCAAACTTGGAGACGATGACATGTTCAAACCAAACCATTCACATTATATATCAACTGCCACATGTGATATTAAAAAGGGCAACCTTGATGCAGATCCTACATAAACAGAGTTCATCACTCACCAAAAGTTCCAACTGCGAGCCATGAATTAATGCATGAAGAAGATTCATCACAGCATATGTTTACCATTGAATCTGATGGCTGCTTTGGTAAACCTGGTTGTTGACATGACAGCAGAAAAAGCTCCAGGGAAGGGCTAGCTTAGCTTCACTTCAAACAAATGTGTTGAAGACCATAGTTTATTTCTCTTGAATGGAAAAATTGGAAAACTGGATTGACAGATATTCACTTTTGAATTTTGGAACCCACCATGACATGCATCCAGAATGTTAGAATTAGAAACTGAGCCCACCGAATGGCACTGAACCCACGACATGAAAGCAATGGCAACTGATGTGTCGTCCTTCCACCACCTTGTACATTCTAATCCACTCAAATAAATGTCCCAATACATAGCACCGACACATGAAACTGTAATACCCTAACAACGCATTAATCACAACACCAACTCAATTCTCCACCAATCTCCTTCACTATCTCATGCATTTTGCCCACCCCAATTCACCATTTAAATCCTTCCTGAGATATCAAAATTTAAATTAAAATCCAATATATCATAAATCGTTCTACTTTATGTACCACCACCCAAAAAAAAAAAAAACAACTTAGACTGTTAATCCTTATTATTTTTGGAGTTGATAAGTTTTCTTGTATTGAATTAAATTATAAGCCGCAAACTTTCTTGTGTCCTTTCGTAGATTTCTTGTGTCCTTTTGATCACCATATGTGACCCCACCACCAAAGCTTCATGCCAAAATGAAGTGTATTTCCCATCTCCAAGTTTTCTGAAATTTTAATTCAAAAATCAGTTTAATCTATATAATCATTATTTTTCACTGTTCCAACCAATATCACACACAAAATACAAATGTGTATGTGGATTCTAGACCGGTTAAATGTGTTACATCCGAAGACGAAATCTTATTCAACTTATGAATAATGAATATCTATGGTTTAATATGTATGATCATGTATAATATCATGTTGCATGTTGTAATTATTTTTTAGTGTGTCTCATCAACATATGGTTTTACTTCACTATTCTTGCAGAGATTCTACATAATACATGTGCAGCTCTACAGAGTACATGTACATTAGATAAAAAAAAGGACAATATGATCATTTCACAAAGTTTTATGTATTTTTATGTATAATAGAAGGAGAATATGTTGAAACTTTCTTTATCTCATTTTCTTTTAAATCTGCTCAAATCAACAAATATAAACAGAAATATATATCCTCATTTCTTTGACAACAATCCATTTATAAATACAAACAAGGACTTAGAGTGATATAAAAGGCAAAAAGTTTCGAAATTGAAAAAAAAAAATACAAGTTATCAAGTTAATGTTAATTAAACATGAGTTCATAACTACTAGAGTAATTTACTCAAATACGCTTAAAAACTAAACAATTGTAATGATATTAAGATTGACAATTTAAAAATACATTAATATAAAATTCAAAATAGTTCACAGTAAAACACATGATATTAGGATGCCTAAAAATAAATTAATTAATTAATTAATTAATTAATTTAAAAAATTATATATATATATATATATATATATATATATATATATATATATTTCTTAGCACGACCAAATCGTGGGAAGAGAATTTTCACAAAAATTACAATAAGTAATTGCTTTGATAAGAGTTAACTTTTTTGTTGTACATTTGTTAAGTTTGGGAAAAATGATAGCGAAAACTCAAATGACTTTTCTCTTTGGTAATCATTCAATCTTTTTTTCAGATACATGCATTTGCCAATCGTCCTCGTTCTTCTTGAACTTGAGCAAACCTCAAAGACGACACTGAACGTGCACCTTGTCGGCCTACATTTTAAACCAATAATGTCTTTAAATTGTTGTCCCTTTCCTCCCCTTTTCAGTGTACATTTGCATTGTTCATTCAAACCATGCTTTCATATTCTCATATTCTCACACTATCAGTATATTTGAGGTGTATTTGATTTTTTACCATATTCTTACTAGAATTTAAGCACGGGATGAAATTTTAGATTAAATAAAAATAGTTAAATTAATATATAAGTAAGAAAATTCACAGATTTAATAATTTTGTTGAAAAATTTGAATGTTAGTACGAATTTTACATTGAGTGAAAATAAGGAAATTAAGTAATATATAAAAAAGAAATAAATTTAATAAATTTAATGTTTTAAGGTTTTTATCAAAGATTGTATTAATATTTTATATTGATTTATTCATATTTTATTAGTATTATCTCTTTACCCTAATATTTTTCGAAACATCTATCAAAATTATTAGAGGAGAATGTATGTATTATTAACCAATTTTAATCTAAAAATAGTATTTTTATCGAATTTTTTTCTGACAAAGAATCAGATAAACAGTACAAGTAAGAACCATTTATGAAAAAGATATATTAATGTAAAAGGAATTTACAGAGGAAATTTAAAAAAATTATATAATAACGTTTGCCTCCTTTAATTAAATTCAACAGAGATATTAATTCCCATAGGAAAATCTCGATTCTCACAATATATATTTGTCCTTTTAGAATAATTTGTTTTGGCTCAAAGCTCATAAGATGGTCTAAGATCCTCGACCCCACAAATCCTTTCTTTCTTTTTTATGACCTTGAAAAAAGAATATTATCCCCACATTCCATATAAGGACATAAACCCTTTCATATTTTATGCAACATAATTCCACCATTTTTTTATGCCACCCTTTATCTCTATCATACCAAATTACTATCATCACCCTCTCCCTCCTTTCTCTTCTCTGCCCGCCACATTCCACTCAAATTTTATAACTTTTGCACTAGGGACAACTAAGCTTGTGTTCAGGTACATTTCTTTCTAAAATAAAACTATGATGAGATTTGTTTTCTCTCTAAACATTTTTTGTGAAGTTTGGTTGCAATAAATTTAGAGTAAATAGTTACCAAATTTTTTAAATAAAAAAAAATTAAGCAACTCATATATATGTATTTCATCGTTAATTATAATTTAAATCCTTCAATCAACTGAACTAGATAAATGGTGGAAAATTAGAACATAAAACTGTGATTCCTTGTCTTTTTAATATTTAGATTTAAGGAAATTAAAAAAAAATCATGAATAATATGGATATAATACAACATAGGATTACATTATTAGAATGAAAAAGTGCAGTAAAATAATAATAAAAAAAGGGGAAAACGATGAAAGCTTCATAATTTTGTCAAACACAAACAAAATCCCACTATTTTTTTTTTCAGAATTCTGTCCCTATCTCAACATTTCTTTGCCTTTTCCTGTATTCTTTATTTCTATTTTGATTTGATGTATAGTGACAGAAGATAAATTAAACTCATATTTATTACATTTAAATTAATATTATATTAATTTAAGTTTAATTTGTTAGGAATCCAACTAATTATAAGAACTCACTATACATTAATAATTAGTGTCTTTTATAATATTATTCTTTATATAAACTTGTCACTGTTAATGATTAATTTTTTTTTTGCTTTATCTTAAAATATGAGATAGGATTCCACATCGATTAAATTTATTTTGCTTTTTCTTAAAATATGAGGTAGGATTCCTTGCAATGTGTAAGATATTTTGACGGTCACAATACACAATAATTTTTTACTGTTTGGGTCTGAGTTTCTTCATTATCCTTTTAATCTAAATAGTTTTGTCATATACTCAGTTTATGTGATAGATAGAGCTATAACATCTTATAACTTGAATAACAAGTTATTATCTCTCTAACAAATATAAAAATATCAAGATCATTTGCAAAACCTGAACAAATATAGTATCTAACAACGAGTTTTGATCCTTTGAAACATAAGACAACATCAAAGGTTTATTTGATAAGAATTTTCTTGATAAAACTCATGTTTTTCACCACAATTTTTCATTGATCTACTAATCGTTCTCACTATTTGTGCAATGTCTAGTCTTATACTGATCATGGTATTCTTAAGACTTCTCACCATTAATGCATACAATACTCGAGCCATTTTCATTCTCTCTATTTTCATTGCTAGGACTCATAGTTGAAGATTACTTGATAGAAAATGGGGCAAAAACTGGGTTACACCCTTGCATGTTGAAGCACTGCAAGACCTTTAATAAGTAATTCTTTTGATAAATTCAAATTTTCTTATCTTTTATGTTTCGGTGAACTTGCATCCCTAAAATCTTGTTTGTTAGTCTCTAGTTCTTTATATCATATTTCTTAGTTAATTGTGACTTCAAAACCTGGATTCGAACTTTGTTGGAACCTGTACACCAAACAAAATAATAAAATCATTCTCGTAAAATCTATTGTAATAGGTACAATAGTCTAAACGACTTCCTCTTGATGTGATATATCCATAATCTCTTGAAGTAATCATTGTCATCACTAACACAAAATATTTGACCTCTCCTAAGATAATATTGACGATTCCAACATATTATAATAAACCAAGTAAAATATGTGTTTCCTCCTGAAACAATTTGACGAAAAACTCTCAAATCTCATTCGTTGTACCATTTTCTACATATTTACTATAACGTTATTGTTAATTTCTTCCCACCTGTGATACCCACAAAAATTGCTTTCATTTTCAGTTTTCTCGATAAGAAACTATTCTCATTAAATTTTTCTATCTCATATTTTGTTGTCATGGTTTTAACCAACTTATGCATCTTTCATTACAAATAGTATTGCTGGAACAGTAACGTAACTAGTACACGTTTCTAAAAAAAAATAGGTGAGTCACTGATTGATACACTTAAATATCAAGCTTTTTTTTACCAAAACTTTTTTTAGACATGAATTCTCATACTACCACACTAAAGTAATTAGAATAATTCTTCTCCAACGTAAGAAATCAAGAAACCAATAATCAAAATAATAATATTCTTTCTGAAAAATAAGAGAATTCAAGTACAGTAATATTTTCTTATAATAAGAAAAATAAAGATAATTCTGACCACGTTGTCATGTAATAATTAGTGACAACCATGATCTTAATTTCTATTATTAGTCTAGCTACTAGCTAGTAATTCGTTTAATTATTTTGTAAATAGGCTAAGCTGTAACCTAAATTTTCTTTCTGCTATGTATGACGATGGATTAATCTGTTTGACTAATTTGCACTAATGTTTTGAAAGGCTCATTCAATCTTTCAATTTAAGTTTAATAGTCACTTCAGCTGCAACTTATTGCTTCTTTATACGTAATTTGCGGGTTGGATTTTCTAACTTGAGTAAAGATAAAATTCTATTTCAGTTGTGATCAGAAAACTAATTAATATTTTAATATACTACGTAGTATACAGATAAAGACACACGATTAATAATTATTCCGAATTTGTAATTTATTTTATTGAATATTAATATTTTAAAATTAAATATTTAATATATAGTACAGTTTTAAAAAAATAATAATTTCATGGATTTAGTTAATATAATATTATATATGAAAAAATTGTATCTAAAAAGAATGGGTTGA